TTCTGGAAAGATTTTCTCGAAGATTTTACATTTCAACTTGTTGTTTCAAACACTAAACATTTTCCAAAATACCATAAATTTTTAACAATATTTCCGATAATATATTAAATGAAAAGCCAAATATACACAAGAAATAATTTAATAACGAAATTTTAATATCTCGAAAGTCCATTCCACTACAATTTGTTCAACATAATTTCATTTTTTATTTTAGTATGGATTTTGGAAAAGTGACACTATTAGTTCTAAAACTTTGAATTAACTTTTGCAGGAATTTATCAAACATTAGATAACAAAATGTGTGTAAATTGGATAGAGTAGGAGAAAGAAAGATACCGCGATCGTGGTATGATAATGAGGCAGTAGAAATGAAACAACTATTAGTTTCTGGAAACTATTCTATGAAAAGAATAATTGTTATGTATAGCTTTTTATGCTTCTCAAATTCATCATTTCATTCAATTTTTTTTAAAGAAAACAGATACGATGTAAAGATGCAATAATGATTTTAGCTTTTTTTTGAAAATTTCATGAAAACAATCGATAATGTCTATTCTCTAACATTAAGGTTTTGGTAATGTAAGAAATGAAATAATTCCGCTCATTTCATGCGCTGCAATTTGTTTTTCTCTTCACACTTTAATTCTGTTAGGAAGATTCTCATAGATTCTTAGATTCTCAGATTCATTGATTCATAGATTTTTTAATTCTCATAGATTCTTATAGGAAGATAATAGTGATATTTATCTTATTTAAACGGTGAAACATTCTTTAGAAAGAATTGAGAACGAAATTCATTTCATCCATCTCTTATTGATTTACTAAAGTGCAATCTCATTTTTGCTTCGATTGAAAGAAGAAAATGCTTTCTTTCTCCATCTTCTTCCCAAACTAAGGGCCTGTTAATTATTCATATGAAGAACCTTCAGGCTTTGTTCATTTACATATTGTCGTGTGTGGTGCATAGGAAAGATAACTTATGGTGGGTGAAGAGGAGATAGGACAAAGATCACTTTTATTCGCAGTCAAACTTATCTATGTGTAACTTTTAACCTAAAATGAATATTCTCATTTACGTGAACCAATTCAAAACGTATTTTCTCATATTCGGGCCTAACATTAAACTTTCCGCATATTTATATTTGAAGGCTTTAAGATTCTGAAATAGCTATGGGATATATGAATCGAAATGAAATATGAATTATTTATGGAAAGAAGCGGAAATGATTAACAACGATTGCTTTGATAATAACGAGGCTTAATAGCTTTCACAATTTGCACAAAAGATGTTTATAAATGTAAAGAAAATAAAAACAACTTTAGTTGAAAATAATTTTGCTGAAGTATGAAATGATGAAGCGATTTTGGAAAGCATTACAATGCTCTTTGAAAATTGCAAAAGTTGAAAATTTAAAATTGAACAAAATTTTTGTTAATTTACTATTTAAAGTGCTAACAAGCAGAGAAGAAAAAAACGATATGATCTGATGGATTGGACAATTCTTATTGTCAAATTTTAGTTTCATTTTTTATTATCGATTTTTCATAATTCTCATGATAGTACGATTATTGATTTTCACAATTTCCACATATTTTATGTTATAAAATTTTAATCATTCACAATTACTTCATTTTCTATGGTGAAGTTTTCAAACATCAGGCATAAATAATTATGCCTGATGTTTGAATTATCACTTCACTTCACTTTTACGTCGTTGTTTCTGTTTCGTTTTTTGGTAGTTGACAGAAGTTTTTCTGAGATATTCCACTTTTCTAGGGTTTTTACCGAAAAAACAAGAAAGAAAGATGTCCGAAAAACCGGAATATGAATTCAAATGGGATGGAAAAGAAATAAAGCAGCGGTAAGTTTATATATTACTAATCAATTATGATATATAAGAAGAATTCATAAAATAATTTGGAGGATGGAATCGACAAAAAGACGCCATTTTTGATGAGAAATTTTAATTTCCAACTGCTATATTATTCAAATTATAAATTCATATTATTCAAATTATAAATTTTTTAAACTTTGAAAACTATTCTCTTTCGTAATTTTAGGTTACGGTAACTTAATTATTACTATTGGAAATTCAATATCTCATTTAAAAAAATTATAAAAAACCATTTTTCCGTTTTATTTAATGAAAATTTTCGATATATAATGACGTCAATGAATATTGATATTTAATATTCATTTAGTAATAGAGTTGAAAAATAGAGAGAAGAATGTTTACTCAATATTATTTGTTATTTATTACCTGTTTGCTGAATATTATTTAGTTACTTTTAATATTCGAAGTGAAATTGCTATGACTTTCATTTACGAACAATTAATTCATAAATCCAACCATTTATATTATTTGATTTAGTTGACGATTAAATTACAGATGGGAAGGTTTTGTGAAATTTGGTAATGCATCAGCAATTGAAATGACAGGGAAGAATTTCGATAAATGGTTGAAAGATGGTGGAGTAATTGATAACAAAAATATTACTACAACAATGACCGGAATCGCCTTCTCCAAAATTACCGGGTGAAGAAGCTTTATTTGTTGATTTTTAAATTTCTGCAATATATGAGGCCTTTTCTTTTCCATTCGAAAAACAATAGCTTTGACTACAAAGTTGCCTTCAATTTACTTTTCCTCTCTACCTTCGTAAATCTAATTTCATCGCACAGGAGACTGATGTTAACGTGTGGTATCATCAAGGGAAAGTGTCTTCCACAGGTATCATATATGTTTTGACACCCTGAGAAAATAAGGGTACCTCTTTATATGTATAGCATCAAAAACGTGAACTTTATTTCGGAAGAAAATATCAGCCTTGAGTTCTTTAGCTCTCAATAATCATATCAATATCAACATATTTAAAGGGCAGTAGAAATCAAGTCATCAGAAACATCGAGATTCGGTTGTTAGTAGCTAAGTTGATGATACCGCATTATTTGCATTTTAAAATGAATCGCTTCTTTTAATATATTTTATGAATTTTAGGCCCAAAAAAAAGGCAAATTTCAACGAGACGAAAGATGTATTAGTAGCAGTAGCTGAGGATCGAGCACGAACAACCAAAAAGGATCCACAAGTATATAATAGTTCTTAGTTATCGTGCTAATTTTCAATGGACAAATTTAATTACGAATTTTGAATTTATTGAACGAAGGAATCACATTTGACTTTTCGAATACTTATTCCATTCAATTCTAAAATTCTCTGCTGCCTTAGTGACCAGTAGGAAGGAATCGATCAATTGTTTCATATCATTAAGGTTAATGTGAAGAAAGAAAACCTCATTAGTACTTTCAACGTTTGAAAATATTGGATGATACATTTCTCTAATATCACATACATTTCATCCTATTTCTCTAAATTGTTATTCATTTTAAAAGTTTCATTTCAGGAAGAATTGGATATCATCATTGAAAAATTAGCAAAATTAGAAGCTCCATCACTTAAAGGTGTTGCTAAAGCATCTGCTGATGGCGTATACAATCGCCTAACGGATCATACAAAATACACCGGTTCACATAAGGAACGTTTTGATGCTGACGGTAAAGGACGTGGGAAACTTGGCAGGGAGGATATCGTCGAGCAAACCGGTTATGTAGCAGCCTATAAGAATAGGAATACTTATGATAAAGTCCATAAAAATATTCAATGATCTCTCATACTGTTCATGAGAAAATACATTTTTCTTGGGCCTTTTATCAGCAGCCAGCTGATTAGATTGATATAACACCTGCCTATGGATAGACGATAATTTTGAAATTGCATAGAGAAATTAAATTCAATTCAGATGGGCCTCAGTGTGAGGCGTATTTTGGCAATTTTTTGTTGCGGTCAAATGGATCACACAAAAATGAATCCGTTATGGAGATTGTCATCATACTTCATTGAAAATTTATACTAATGTTTGCAATGCGAAAATGTATCCACTTCGCTAATTATCAATTAATGTTCATAATTTGATCGTATTATAAGATTATCATATTGAGAAAAGCGCTTTTGTACAATTCATTAGATTTACACTATAAAATAACAAACGAAGATTTCTGAAGTTTCAGTGCAATTTTGGCTATGAAAGGACTTCTAATTCTGCAAAAAATTGGCAACATTCATTGCAAGAAATTAGTTTTAAGTAGAAAATGTACGTACAGGGATTTGACCAATTATTGCAACATTTAGCATCAGCAAACAAACAATTTGGCAGAGGCTACAACATAATCCTCACTGAAGCTATTGACTAATTTTTTGTAAATTCTTGAATTTTCTAGTCATACCTTCCATTTTCTTATCTGTTTGTTCAAAACCAAATTTTTGCCAAAATATAACTCTCCCTTTACTATATATTTCTTTCGCAATAATTCATACAATGTGTATTATATATCCATCCAATTCCTTTATCAAAAGTTTCAACCTTTTTTAAATTAAAACGAAGAACCATACCTAATTGATAATTCACGTTTTCATTAGCATTTCCGTGTATCATTTGTATCATTTGTAATTATGTCTTGAAAATTGTTCACATGAAAATTAGTCCTATTTCATAATTGGCATTCCTACTCCTGTCAAACAATTTTTGGTTAAAATAGAAAACATTTGGAACTGCACACCATACATTATAACTGCCGAACTATTTGCCATATGCATGGCATAAAACAAATAATACTCTACCAGCCAGATTGTGGAAGTATATACAAATCTCTCCAGATATTAACTGTATATACCTTCGACAAAGCGCAAAATAGATGATGTGTTCATTCAAGCACTGCACATCTTTGCGTGGATATAATCCTAATGAAGATAGCTACTTTAAATCTTCAAATTCTTCCTATCTTCAAAAAAAAACTAGTGTAGACTTGAAAAACGTAGAATGCATATGTTTAAAATACAGTACAAAGAGCAACAATAGTATTTATTGAAAAACAAGATAAAATACAACCAAATTGCTGTCCTCAAAGGAAAACATATTATTTATCGTCTGCCAACACCTTCTTACCTTCTTCCGCTAATACCTTCTTCCGCTACCTCGCGAGCTTTTTTATCACGAACACCTTTCAAACGTTTGTCAGCGCGAAGACGACGTAAGTGACAGTACACTTTGAATTTCTTCTCTTCCTCAGTTATTTGACGTGGCTTCTCGTGACGAACAAATTGCTTGACAGGTAGGATTGCTCCACGTAACTGTGTAGCTAGCTTGAGTTCGTCAGTCTGCAAATCAACTTCTCGGTGAGTTCGAAATCAGTCAAATGTTGTGTTTGCCAAAAAAAAACAAACAAATAATAAGTGTCTGCGAACTCACGGTACTATCTCCTTTCTTGGGCGCGCTTAATTTCTTCGGGAATAATATTAGTTTCGACCTGTATTCCTTTAAACGCTTGACATTTTCCTGAAAATAATAAAATCTTACCTCGAAACTAAGCTAAACAAATAACTTGTTTGTACACTTAAACCTTATACAAAATGACTCACTATCCAAGACCATACCAAGAGAAACTTCAAATTCTTCACAATTGGGCTACATCAGAAAAAAGTGTAACATTGATCTAAGTTAACACGGCTTATGGATCAGCATAAATAATTATCCGAGGAAAGATACCTGCAAGGATTCCAATGACCGGTTTGTACGACGGTAATCCACTGCAATGCCAATAGTACGAGCTTCTCGTTTTCCGATGCCAGCTGCCTTTAGCTCTTCCAAGGTAAATCCTCGTCCCAATCTCACTTTTTTGTTATACCGAATACTAGGACAACGCACTGCCGGTCTCAACAAACCCGCAACAGGCCGAGGTGCAATCAGTTGACCTTTTTTATATCTATTGCGCCGTCTACGCTCCTTTCGTGCCGGTTGATTAAACCAGGTGCGCACGCGACTCTGCCAATCTTTATGGAAATGCGCATTCGGTATCATGTTATTCCCTTTCGGGGCCATTTTGCTGTCTATAAAGGGAAATTTAATCAGAAATTTGATAATGCTCAGTCGCAAAACACTCTTGCAAAACCTACTTGTAAGAGTTTGAAAACCCAAGAAGACTATAACTACTCAAGAACATAAATTCGCGTAAACATTAAGCAGAAAATCATATCGAGAAATAGAGAAATCATCCGGGAACTGAAGTAGCCTAATACAGTGAATACGACATTCTGCTTGCCGAATGGTTGCGACAATTTCATTCACAGATAATATGAAGCACAGGAAACCCTTCGGGAACCCATTTATCGACGGAAATGTCTCACCCGCAAGTCTGACAACTCCAAAAACCAGCTGCAATAGTCATATTCCCAAATTATAAACTTCGCACAAGAGGCTCTGTTCAGTGGTTTATACTCGCAGTGGTAGAAGGATTGGAGAGACTGAGCGGGACATGTCGAGATGTTCATGATCTAAGATGTCAGGATTACGGTGAGAAGGAGATAGCGTGTTGTGAAGAGGACATCTCAGATTAAGATGAAATACAAGAGAGATTTATTTCAATGGAAAGAACAAAAATTGATAAGAATTAGATTTCCCTCCGTAAGAGAGGTGAATTTCCATATTTCTTCTCAGTTTTTGTTGCAGCGGCAATTAGCGAAAAGAAATGGTACTTTGTAAGAAATTGATTGTGGGTAATGGAAATTTTTTTTCAGTTGTGGACAATAATATCACTATGTCGACGAAACATTTGCGGCGATATTTACAAGAAAAGGCAATTATAGAGGAGAAATCACTAGTCCGCGAGGTGGAGGAAAGTTCGGCAAGTGAGGAAGAAAGGTTGGGATCATTTGTATGCAATAGGTTGGTTTTTAAATTTACATATTTGAGGAGATCCTTATAGTCAAGCACTGATTTAAGAAAAATGCAAGCGGTAGCATTTTTTACCGTATTGCAATCCATGAGCGTCAACCTTTGACTTGCTTAATAATGAGTGGCATTTTTAATTTTCATCTGTAGAACAAAGAAGCGATGAGAAGTTAAACTTTCCAAAGCTGTGTTTCATATCATTTCACTTTCACCTCTGTTTCTTAAGTGAAGTTAGAAAGTCTCGATCTAGTTTGGTTACTGTTTGTTATTCTTACCTTTTCCAGATATGAGTTCCTTGAAGAATCTGAAGAAGGAGGGGACGAAAGTTCTGGGGTAGTTGAAGAATTGCCGGTAGAGAAGAGCTCCGAAAAGAAGGAAAAAAAAATAATAAAGAAGAAAAAGAAAGGAAAGAAAAGAGTGCATTGTACGGATACAGACAATGATTTAAACATTTTGGATCTCCCTCCGTCAGAAACTCAACTTCCCAAACTCAATGATATAATCTTTGAAAGAGATTTATTTAAGGTCTATATTTATGCATCCTTGACTAAATGAATATAATATTTTCATAAAATAACACTGTCCCGAACTGTTTTTCATAAAAAACAATATAACTGACATTCTCATGATGATGGTATAGCGTAAATGTTTTCCTCAGTATAAGTTTTTAATGCTTCTATGAACTGAGTATTGATCGGTAATAATTCATCTGAGTAAAAAGAATCAGTTAATCAGGAAATGATGCGATCCAATTGAATTAAATATCAAATTCCGAGTGTTATTCATATATAACGGAAATCTAGAAGTTGGTGCAGGATACAGTGATTTATTCTAGGTTGACAGTAGAATGCTGAATGTGGAGAATGAGTTACGATCAATCCTGGGTCGAAGAAGTACAGATACAGTTCAACGTGGACGAATGGTTTTTGGCAAGATAGTGAAGAAGAAACCAACTTGGCCAGAAGTCAAAAATGTTGGTAAGGCTTTTTAAATTATTAATAGGGTGTAATTTTTTTTTGTTTTACCTTTATTTTGCTTGTGTTTTAATACATAGGTTCTTTTATATCATGCATGTGCCAATCAATGTTAGAATTTTTCCGTATGTATTACAATCGCATTATATAATGAAACAAACAAACGCATTCGGAATGCATTGATTCAAAAATACTTTCGATGATCAAGAATTAGACATATCTACTAGTTTGCGTAAAGTGCAGCGGATTTTGCATCGTGAGTGATGACTCATTTCTTTGGGCAGATTTGAGAACTTGAGTATATCATATGAAATGTTCATTTTAATTCTATATCTTCTCTACTTCTTCAAGAGAAGATTGTATTATTCATTTATTGTTAAGGTCTATCAATGGAACTAGATCGCAGCGAGAGTAATATATTTTGGTTCAAATTTTCGCACCACGCTTATTATCGTGAATTGCAGCAAACTTTCTGGATAGCATCAGAATCACTCAATCATAATTTGATATCGGTCTGTTTTAACTCAACGCTATTTAAAAATATTTTCAAGAATATATCGAAAAAAGTGATATTTGAAATTTTTACTTTTATGGCTACTAAAATCACATCAACATTGATTCTTATAATTATATCCTTATTGAATAATAGACTTCCTTAATGAACACAGTGATCAGAATATGGCATGCAATCTTGAATTCCGATATGATCCCAGTGTTAGTAATCAAACTTTTTTGTTCTTATATTCACATGCCAGGTAGACACAATGATTTAATTTAGAATATTTTGACACAATGTCCATACCACTTAGACAGCCTTCTTATTATGGCGGAACTGTTGAGACAGCAAGAAGATTATCAGTTCTCACGTGATTTAATTGGTAAGTTATTAAAGACCGTTATTTGCTACTTTATTGCCAGTACGTTCGTTTCTTTTTGTATAATTTTTTTAATTTCCATTCCTTATTGGGATTGTCTAGTATTAAATAAGGCTATATCCTACAATTAGTATAAGACACAATCATAAATCTCATAATTAATCCTTTTATAAGCTGTCGGTAGTTCATTCAAATTCAGACTTATCATTAGGCTTAATGCTGTTAAAGAATTATCCAGATACTATAAACAAAAATCTTTACTTTGTAGGATGTTTTAAGATTTATTCGTGCTAAATACCTTGTAGAACGTGGGTTGTTTTGCTGTGAAAGTGTATTTGCCCCACGATTTCAACTGAACAACTTCGATCATCGCATCGATTATGTTAATTTCGAAAATCGAGCGTTTTACTTGTTGCTTCATCGGCATTTGCGAAATCTTGTAGATCGTCACTGTTTCAAAACGGCCCTTCATGTTTCTAGACTTATATATCGTCTGGATCCTGTGTCGGATCCACTTGCCATAATGCTTACCATCGATATGATTGCTTTGAAAGCACGGGAGTATAATTATCTAATTCTTCTGTACAATACACTACAAGTAATGGATTTCATGAAATTTCTATGATGTAACTCACAAGCAGTATGATGAAGAATGCTGTATTTTAAGACACTAGTTCCATCAGGCTTAGATTTTTATCTATGTGATATAAAGGGAAAATTCACATCAAAAAATGAAATCTTGTTATCAATTGAGATTTGATTAATAAAATCCGTTTTATTAACCGTCAAGTTCTGAAAAAATAAAAAATGCGTTTTTTAACTTTCAGGCCTCAAAAAACTTGGATAGACTTCCAAATTTCGCTTATTCCATCGCCCTTGCCCATTTTTTTCTCTTTTGCGAAAATGGAAAAGCTGAAGAGAAAGAAATTGCCGACTTTATGGTATGATTATGCTGTTTTAGGACTCCTGTTTGAATTCATAGTTCAGAAACTGGTACACTAGCAGTCAGAAAAGTGGTTCAGCACTCTCTACTTTAATATTTTTTTTCAAAATCACTACTGCAGAGTCTAATTCCAAAGGCATATAAAATCCTTGTATGTATTTATAAATTTTAGATTGCTTCGGCTATTCGGCATTTCCCAACGGTGCTACTTAAACTTTTAGATGCAATGAATGTGGAGCCTGATCCAACAGTAGAAAATAATGAATATATGAGTGCATTAGCCCATGAAAGGTTAATTTTTTTGAGTGGAAACTTCCCAACTGGAATCTTTTCTTGGACTAGAAAAACTCAATTTGTATTTTCGAGTATAAATATCAAAGTCATAGCAGTGGTAACAAGGCTCCATAATAATAGACCTTTGGAGTATGAAATGTACACTGGACAGCTGATCCTGTGTTTTTGTATCAGCATTTTTTAAGTAAATAAACAAAAAGGTTCACTTTTGTGGATATATTTGTTAGAAATATTTATTTTAGATTGAACTCTTAAAAATTTTTTCTAGAGAAAGTGAAGGAATAAAACTGCTTATATCAATATATGTGAAGCTGACATCGTCGATTTGGTTAGAGGATCCATCGATTCTTTCATGGCTTGAAAGGGTCACAAGAGCCACTGTGTCATCATTCAATACTTTCAAAGAAGAACTTGCGGATTGGGAGAAACTGTAAGTTTTTTATAGTAACTCATTCAATATCTGGACGAAGATTTGGTCTGCAGTCTTTTGAAAAAAACCAAAGGACCGTGATCTTTTGTGTTATAATTTTCTTCGAAGTAGAAAAAGTAGAGCAAATCTTTTGGACTGCTTAATCGCTCCGCTTTTGAATGAGATGGCAGTAATGACTTTCAAACTATTCCGTTTATCAGTTCGTTAGTTAACTTGTTAATAGCTCTGATCATCTAGTTTTAACTTGCCGACATGTGCATAATGTGCTATATTCTACTCTTTATCTGGCATCATGGTAAGATAGGCTTTTTGGACGTTTAGAAATTAAAAGATCTTTTTGTAATACATTACTTTTTCCTAACTCTTATCAAACGAATTAATTTAGTGCAGTTATTCGGCATTAGTTTCAAATTGTATTTTTTCTATATAAAAAACTTTTTATTGCCGTCATACTGTTCTTATAGGAATCAATAATTCTGCACAGAATACAAATTTAGAGAATAAATATTTACATGAATAAATATGTACAGAATGGTGATGCTTTTGATTCTACACGTAGAAAGAAAATTTTACGGACAAATTTCAGTTAGGGGGATTTCAAATTCTTAGGTTTGAATTCCAGAAAAATTCTCGAAAAAGAGTGTGTATCTTCTCACGTTTAAATAGAATGTGTTGTTGGGAATAACTAATATAAAAAGTTTCTATTTACTGTGAAACTAATAAGAGGATAAAGCAGAGAAAGCACCTGTGAGCTGAGCAGGTGCAGAAATGATGCTTGAAATAATTGGTTTCGATAAAGGACAGCAAGGAATAAGGGATTAGAATTCTGGATTTGGAGCTGTCTATTATATGTCTACACTAGCAATAATGGCAGAGAAAAGGAGTGAAGCAAGCAGAAAACGCGGAGTTTTCAGTGTGACTGGAAATTTGAAACTTATTTCAGGAGGAGAACATGTTATGTTGGAGTACCACGGAACATCGAACGACATGCATACTTATGGGAAGTAACGAGAAATGCGGAATGGATTCTGTCAGATCCCGCACCACCATATAATGGACGAATGATGTATACGAGAGTGGCGAGAACACCACGGCCTGATTCCTTCCTCTCAGGATTACTACATTCTGTTTGGCCCAATTACGATCAGGTAAATGTCGGCTTGATTAGCTCATATAGAAATAATAGTGATGACATTGCACATAAATAGAGTATCACAGAGACACCAAGAGCAAATCTGAAACGAAAAACAATGTTGAGTCTGCAGTAATTTATTTTTCATTAATAATTTACCTAAAAGTAATTAGTGATACTGATTTTATCAAGAAGTATTTCTTGTTGTACTTACAGGATGCTCAGTTAATAGACTTATTCTGACTTATTATTCTGAGATATTTTTCTGAAAATGCAGCAGCAACTATACAAAAATCTACTAGATTGAATTAACCGACTCCCTGGATTAAGAAACCTAGCTGGAGATGATGTAGGCACTAAAAAGAAGCGAAAATGAAAAATCAAATATTTGAAGGTAAAAGAGATAGAACTTAGGATCTGGAGACTTCAATTTCAACGCATTTAATTCGAAGTTTTTGGGTCTGTTTCTTTTCATTTAGTATCACACCAGCACACCATGAAGGCATACCTCATAGTGTAAAATCTAGTGGAATCATGAAACAATGGCATAATAGTCTTTCAATTCTACTTCTAGAAAATATGTAATATATTCTTAGTTTCGAGACTTTCAGATTTATAGTAGACTGGCCACCTTGATACAGTGTGGAGAGCTATGCATAGGAACTTTTAATCCTCATCTTATATTCTTTTGCAAGATTTAAATGTCATAAATGACTTTGAATAATATAAATATTATTAAGAATAGAAACAAAACATACTTTGATAATGTAACGCCTTGAGGATCGTTGAAAATCATAACGTCAGCATCCATATCATCTGGCTCTTTTTTTTCATCTAGAAAAATAATTGATTTCTTATGGTGTTATGATCTCACTGCCAAAATGTGCCTTGTTAAAATCATTTTCAGTACCAAAAAAATGCCTAACCTAGATTTTGAAAGCCCGTAAGACGACAGTAAGGTTGAAATATCTATGACTTTGTTGCAGTGTAATGAAAAATTCAAACTATCCAGTTAAAAAATTACTGCTTTTTAAGATTAGCTGAAATTATGATTGATATTCCAACAAAGTATCAAAGTTTTAATTTTTCATGTTAATCAATGGACAAAATTAAGAGGGCCGTAATTTTCTTTCACAGTTCAAATAATCAGAAGCTTTAGATTGTCTTTGCTCTTTTATTCATCGAGAATCTTGAAAAAGAAAATGCAGAGTCGTTATCAATAGACATCTTAAACAAAGAACCTACTTTCTGATTTGCTTTTAGTAGTTCCACAAAATACGATTTGTAAATGCTGGGATAGCTTTTGTGAGATATAGAGTGGAAACAGTAATAAATTTCCTAATTTTTTTGTAAAATCGGAACATCATGGGTTACCGTTCCTTTCAGTACAAAATCCTGCGATCTTGCTTTTTTTAAGGCACTCAAATAGAGAGACAAAAAAGGGAAAAAGGCTTACTTGTCGTATTAAACTCTGTTGAATTCGGCCTTTGGTTGACATTATTTATACTAAACTTAACATAGCCCTGCCCAGACTGGACCTGAGTCAGCTTTCTCTGGTTTTCCGATTCTAAATTATCTTTTTGCAGTATACATATTTCGAAATGCAGCGCAAAGACTTTTGTGAGTGACAGAATTATTTTCTTATAGCGTAATGTCAGATTTAAAAAATTTCGTACAATTTCTGTATTGCTCATATTGAGAAGGAAGTTGGAAACGTTAACAAACAGAATCTGCACCACAAAAGTGACGCACTGTAATCATGACCTTGAACGGAAGACTCCACTATCGGACATTGATAAATTTTTGAAGATAAAACAAGAATGACGATTTATAAGATAATATAATAATGCTAATGGAAAAAATATCTCATAACATCTATGGGTAAAGCCAGTAGATTAGATGAGTTGTTTATCGCAATGTTATTATGATTACATAGTGAAAAAACCCATAATATCTATGTATCTAGCCAGCAGATTAGATGAGTTGTTTTATCAACTTTTATCGCAATATTATTATGATGAGTGATGATCATTTCGTAAATAGTAGGTGAATTATGTTTTTGGACTTTCTCAGTTTAGAGCGAAGGGAGTAAACACGAAATCATTGGATAAGAAATATGGTCAAATTATTCCAAAAGAATAGAAAAATAAAAACAACAATCTTACCGACAACACGTCGCGAAATGAACATTTGTGGGAACTGAATCTATACGGTTTCCGTAATGCACTTTATTGCTGCTTTGCCTCACTTTCAGTGATAGCTATTAATAATCAATTAATTAACTGTAAATGAAAATGTGGTTAGAAGAAAGTACTACAATCATGCTTGATATGGGAAAATACACACGTGCATTTGTGCAAATGTTGCTCACCTAGTATTCACCAGTGATTTCAGTTTCTCATAAGCTGAAGTGTTTTTAGGCTCAACACTTGAATGCAAGCATTGAAGAAGTATTAAACGTTTTACGTGGAATGTTCGTTAGTGAAACGTCTGATGCTGATGGCAGAGACTTCGACGGTAGTAACCAGGAGGAACGCAATCGGGAGGCTGTCAATGAAGTAGACGATGGAGAGGTAGAGGCAAGAGAGATGGAGCAGGAGCACGGCGTAACTGATGATAATGATGGTGGCCAAACTGGTTCGGCTGGAGTGCGGTAAAAGTCTGAGTAAGAAGTTAAAGGAAAGTTTTAGGCAAGAAGAGCTACACTGAGTTGGTACTTTATGGCCTCTTTGTTATGCTTCTTGTTGCGAAAGAATATCTCTTCGTCCGTGTGCTCATATTTCCATTTGTCCATATATATATATATGTACTTTTTCATCTTAATAGATATTAAGCAGAGTTGCGAAATCTAAAGGCAATGCGTAGAGGAAGGAAGAGAAGAGAGGAAAAAGGAGAAGAGCTCCGATTTACTTGAATTTTTATAGTTCTAGTAGATAACATTTAACATTTCTTGTGGTGCAATGTTTATTTTTTCCTATACCACAGTGACCAGATTAACTATTGAAATTGTTTGTTTGGAGAGTAGAAAGAATTGCATTTCAAAAAGAGCGGAAAGTTTTGAGTACCAACTTTAGGCTTCTTCATGTGTAAAATAAGTCAATATATTTTTTCATGCTATACAAATATCGGAAAAAATAGCTAGAATTTCTGGAAAAAGTTTGTTGAAGTAAAAATTCTTTTCCTTATCGATGTAACAGTAAATATCAAAAAAAAGTAACTGGATAGAGAAGATATAAATTTACTCCAAATTATAAAATACTGGTTTTTTCATAGATTATTTAATCAGTAAAACCTTAAGCGGATAGTTGGACAAAATAAACAAAACTCAAAAATTATATGGATTAAAAACAATTCTTCAATACTGTGATACGATGTGAGAAAGCAAAGCTGGAAATTTTCTCGAAATATCAGTTGGTGAAAGGAAGTTGAATTTTTTGAATTTATTCCCACCTTATTTTGTCAAGAAGTGAAATTGAAACTATTCCTTTACCTTTTGTTTATTGGGAAGGGGAAATGAAAAGAGAAAAGAGCTAATGAATTTAATGGAAAAAAGGCTTAAGCTTCCTTTCGCTAATTTCCTTTTTTTCTTTTGCCATGTCAATATTGCAAAAATCGTTTTTTCATTCTATCTTTTTTATTACAAGCTGCGATAGTCTACTAATGATGCACTTTAGCTCAACTTAGCCTTGAATAAAAATCAATAAATCCATGAAAGAAATGTAGCTGTGAGGATCATTGGTTGCCAAATTGCATTATGTGAGTTCGAGCCCTGTTACCTTCACTTTTTCAGTAAGTCAACTAGCAGTGGCTGCATTATAGCGGAAAACAATTTTGCCGTAAAAGTGTTGCACGCGTTTATCATCAGTTTTAGTTTATCTCAGGGTAGTTTCAGTATCATCGCTAGTTTGAATTTTTCGTACTGCAAGTAAAAAAGCAAAAAAGTAAGAAATGGGTAATCTTTGTAGGACGTTGCATTTTTCTTTGGCGATACCGATAATCATTCATACGATTATAGTTTGAAATGATTATTTTGTTGTGCTGCATCTCGAATATTCACCAATAAAAAATTGGAAGGGGCACGAATCAAAATGAATTTTTATATTTTAACGGAGGTTAAAGAAAGGCCACAATGTTGGCAGTTGAGATTATTTATTTTCAAAAAAATTATTTCGAAGCAAACTAATTTTTTGCGTCAAGAAAGTGCAAATGCTAGAGAGGAAAGCAGGAAAGGTAGTAAATTACTTGCGGAGAAAGATCAATGTTGCAATTAATCTATTAATTACAATACAAAGAGGGATGAAAAAGGATTTTGGACAGCTTCATAAATAAGTATGTATAAAATTGATGATTCTAAGAAGAACATAATTAGTTTATTGATAGTGCTGTTAATTCTAATTCAATAGCAGTTCTCCTATTTGTTAGTTATATCTTTTACGTTGGATATCATGATATTTTTTTCGGTATATTTCAGTAACAGGCTAAAATGTGAAGTGATGTTTAGAACTTCAATCTAACATTATTTATCACTGAAAATGGGTCGCATATCGCTGATGGTAAATATTCTTTACATTAACTTTATTCTCTTTGCAACCATCTTTTTTCTAAATTTGTTCAATTGATGCTTTTAGTTTCTCAACTGTTTGTCTTAATTAATTTCCTGTGATGCTGTTTGCCAGTTGTTTACTCCTGATTTGTTTGTATGCTTGTTTATTGTTATATAATTCTGTTCGCATATGTCGTTCAAATTGTTCCATTATATGTGTTTTTTTATGATGACGCTGAAAGTGTTCAATAAAATTTTCTCAATCTTTTTGTTAAAAACGAGTAAATCTGCAAAAACGGTCAGAGTAAAGTTGTTTGAAGGCAAATTAACGAGATCAATTTCTGAGACGGAGTTGACCTCTATCAGTATCATTATTGTAGATGAGGGAAAATGAGAATCCTTCCAGCTAAAGTTCTCTTTTGAGATATAGCAGGTTTTAATAGAATTAAAACAGAAGAGATGAACTTTTAAGTATTGTTTGACTAGACCTAAATTACATTTGCATTTTTCGAAATTACATTTAAGCTGTGTACGGTTCACTTTTTTAGATTCTTCTCTTTTTTTTCGATTGCAATATACCGTATTGTTGAAGATCTTCAAAGAATGCACGCTGTATTGAATTAATAAATCATCTGCGCAATCTTGTCGATATGATTAAAGAAGAAGATGCTTCTGCATCACAGGCAGATGTTCTTGCTGTTTTGGCAAGTAATGAGGATGGTTTAAATAGCGAAGATCTTATGAAGCAAACTGCGGGGATGGATGTCAAAGCACGTGGTGAAGCAGTTAATGCCTTGTTATCATCAGGTAAAGTCGAAATGTTGCCTGGTCATACACCGGGTGCATTTATCTTACGTCTAAGAAAGGGTACACAAATTGCCGATGCCACGCGCGAGGAACAATTGGTGAGCAGTTTTTCGATTTTGATCATTTTTTGCTTGTTTCTCATCTCTAAGTAACTGCTGAGAATATATTAAAATTATACTGATTTAACAGCCAGATATTTAAGCTTACGATAGTTGGTTTCAGTCTCTTGTTGCTTGCATTTTCATCTTTGTTCGTTTCATAGGCGTGATATTTCTCATCATACTTTCGCATTTGTAAGTTTCTTATCAACTCAGTGCTTTTAGAATTGAAACTTGTTATATCGATTAAAGTTTCTTTTCAGTGTTTTAATTCACCGTTTTCATATTTTTGAGTAAATATGTTGCTACTATATCAATTCGTAGTTAATTTTCTATTTAAACGAAATCTCTTAAATAATGCTAGTAATAAGCTTTCTTCTTCCAGAACAAAGAAATTCTATTCACCGTTTCTAGAATAATACGATATACTGCCTTATTCTATTTAATAAATTTATTTTGCAGATTTATTCACTAATTGAAGAATCGGGTAAAAAAGGTATTTGGATACGAGACATTCGTGATCGAACTGGCTTATCACAAACGCAAATGCGCAAAGTTCTGAAAGTATTGGAACAACGCAAACTTGTTAAATCGATTAAAGTTTCTTTTCAGTGTTTTGATTCACCATTTTTACGTTTTTAAATGTTGCTACTATATCAATTCGTAGTTGATTTTCTATTTGAACGAAATCTGTTTTAAGTGATGCTAATAATAAGCTTTCTATCTCCAAAACAAAGAAATTCACTATTCACCGTTTCTAGAATAATACGATACACTTGAATCCTTTTTACAGGCTGTAGGTACGATAAAAAAGTGCTATATGTTATATGATATAGTGGCAGATGAATCGTTGACAGGCGGAACATTTTATTCTGACCAGCAGTTAGATTCACAGTTTGTCGAAACTCTGGCACATATTTGTGTGGCGATGTTGCAGGTGGATTTTGTTGCATTGTTGAAGTAGTTGTTTAACTTTGTCAAACAAAGAGGAGGATTAAAGCAACTAAAATTCGGATTGATTCTAATCCACTTCTAAGAATAGGTTGATTAACAGAATCATTCGTTCTGCATTTGTTTTAAATCTGCTCCGAAAATTTCGAAAATGCTTTAAACAATTCGAATTTCTTGCGAAGTTTTTAAAAAACCTGATGATGGAAATATTTGACGTTAGGGTTACTATTTTACATCGCTAATACAAGTGTAGTGGGCTAGATTGAAGCGCTGATGTCGTATCTTATTTTTCATTGTGAAAACTATCATGAATTTTGTTCATACGACTTTTTATTTGGTATACGCGAACTAGAATTAGATTTTTAACTTCGACTGAAAAAAAAGCATTATAGAGCAAGCGGAAATTCTCTGAGGATAACCACAAAAATGATCCTGCAGCTGCTCGGGAGTTTTCATTTGTTCGTTCCACCGAGGTGGCGCAATTCATTCGTGAAAAGGGTGTTTGTCGTGTACAACTGAATATTGCGGATATTGAGAGTATCCTGTCAGTATCACTGTTGGATGGCTTCATCGAACGGCGTGCAGATGGTATGTATCGTGCCCTGACAGCTAAGACGACTCGTTGTGCTCCGTCTTATTGTCCTTGTATTCACTGTCCTATTGAGAGTGATTGTAAACCAGGCCATATCATATCACCGCAAAATTGTGAATATTTTACTAGTTGGTTAGATTGGTAACAATCGTATATATCAGATTATGAAGTTGTTTTGTTATGAAATTGTTTTGTTTGGAGACCGCCAGAATCTTTTTTTATGCAATATATCTGACGGTGTTTAGGGCCGATATATTTTGTGTTTTTTATATTCTTATTATGTTATAAATATTCTTTAGTTGTTCCTTTATTGCTGAACATTTATTGTGAGAAATAAACTTTTCATTTCTTTCTCTCCCTTGCATTCACTCGTTAAAATTTGCCTGGTTCTTCAGTTCTCTAAAATCAAACAAATGCATAATTTGATTTGCCTGCATCACCTGCCATAATATCTCTCCATAAACTGCGTTATGAGGCAGTAAATGCAAAAAAAAATCGATTTTCCATCCTATAAAAAATCTTTCCATTTTAGGTAAAAAACAAATTAAGAAAGTTATTGTACTCGTAACAGTGTTCAGTTTCTCTTGTCGAAATTCACATTCCATTCCAGATGAAGAGTTTTCATCGGCTAATAAAAAAATGCATCATATCATGAATAGCGATTGCTTTCTTAAGAGATGTATATGGTAGTAAAGAATTCCTGAATCACTTCATAACTCAACTCATTTAGCACCGCATTTTCGGAGTCCACAAGAATTAAATGTTCTTGCCTTTTTTTACGTTCTTTTGTTTTCAATTTGTCCATTTAGTGCTATAGGAGAGTTCTTCAAATCAAAATTACCAATTCAAATTAGTCAATCAGAAAAAGATCTCCAACCTTCTCTATTCACTTACAGTGGTCAGAATTAAGCTGTTTGAGGTTGCATTTCTTTCCAGTATAAATTGAAAATTATAAACTAGCTAGTATCAAAGGTCAAAAATGTAGGACAAAATTTAGCTTTATTTTCCTACTGAGCCATTGAAGAGTATAAGAATATATTTAATATTTTTAAAATAAACTTCCCATTACTTTTTAAAAAAAGAATATCTTAAAATCAAACACAATTTGTGGCCATTCTTTGTTATTTGTGAAGTTTCGAAATTTATCAATTACACATTCAATTTATTGCATTATAAATTTTGAAATTGACCTTATGACAGAATTATTTAATTGCAGCGCACTTCCTCTAATTTTTAATATTATAATCCTTTGACATCTTATCTTTGCTAGAAGCGATTCCACTAAAGAGTGAGAAATGAAAAGCCTAAATGATATCACCGTAGACTAATTATTATGTAAAGCACAATATAGAGTAAGTGAAGAGTCAACGAATCAATTGAAGTTGATCGTTAAGATATGCTAATAATTATTGATAGCTGAATTGATTACTGGTAACTAAGATATGTTAATGATTACTGATAACGATGATTGCCGATAAGATATCTTTGTCCTGTTGATTTCCATTTTCTGTTAGAAGTGGGAAAACATTGATTTTGGTATAATATCATTTTGAATCATAGGAATAAATGAATTTAGAATTTAATGAATTCACTCGGGCAGTAAATTGAACTATGAATACTATAAGCATATACTTCTTGTGTTGACCTTTGAGATATCGTCTCGACCTTCTTCACGTTATAGGTCACAAGAACCATAAACAAGTGAAAAATTTTTCAGCAAGAATGCATTTCCATTTCGTTTGTTTTCTATTTTTTCCAAAATTCAGCATTATTTTCATTTAAATAAAAAGTTTTGGATAGGCTAAAATGGAATGAATTTCATTTTGAAAATGCAATTAATTCCATTTTATTTTCATTTTGGTAATAATCGTAAATTTGAAAAAAAAGAAATAAAACATATCATAGAAATTTGAACGGAATGTTTAGCAATTAATTCATCGAAAGAAAAAGTATATTTTCCAAATTCCATTCCAATTAAATTGGTCTAAGTCTGAACCGGAAAATTTAATTTGCATTGTTGAAAGTTTGAAAACAAAAAGCAATATTAAATGGCTCCAAATCAACATTCCTGATGATATTGATAATTCCGGTTCCAATTTCAATTTAATTGAAATGGAATTTGAAAACATATTAAACAGTGAACTTTTTCATTTCAAGATAGCTTCAATGAAATATAAATTGGAAGAAGTGATATTTGACGGATATAAGTTAGCAGCTAAACTGATGATTTCGCAAGTGATTTTAATTGCATTTAATTAAAATTTAATTAATCAGAAGACAAGCATAGAAAGAATCAAATTCATTCATTTTTTTTCGTAATCGTTTGACGAGATTTCTCTTTATTTTTATTCTTTGATATTAATATCTTCTTTGTATAATATCGTTGGCTTCCGGTTTTAATAAAATAATAGTTACTAGTTATTTACTGTCATATACCATCTTTCTTCAGTTTTGAAATTGAGAGTAATTAGGGAGAAGTGAGGAAGGGATGAAATAATTCCTTTTAAAATATATGGATTGTGAATTCCTGTTTAATTTTCGATGAATATTAAATGATTCATATTGCATGCAAGTTGGCAATTGCTCATAGTAAGGGAAATATTTCTGATGGAATATTTAATCAAAATTGAAGGATTTTAATTACAAAAAGCACTTCATTAAAGATGTGTTTAATTAGATGGGTTAGACATTTCACTTATGAATAATATCCGTTTTACTATTCTCTTTGTAATAATCGTATCTGTCTGTCCTTTCATGACAAATGTGATATTTGAAGTGAGCATTGGAATAATTTCATCTAAATGATTTATGGAAATCAACTATTAATAATTTATAATGCATTTCTAAAATGTTTTAACTACTATGTTCAAAAAATTTAAATGTGCTTGAATTGAGATAGATGCAAAAATAATTGGTAATTAAGTTTATTTCCATAGAGAATATGATTTGGCTAATATATTAAACTTTTTTAAGATAAGGCATGCCTTCCAAAAAGAAAAACAAACAAATTAAGCTGTTTAAGAAATCTTATAAGTCATCAAAGTTATTACACTATTTTAAATGATAGTAATGACAAAGAGGATGATAATTTGGTGACATCGATTTTTCAACTTCTTCAGACTATTTATAAATTTCATGAAATATTTTAATAATAAATGCTTTTGTTCAGCTAATTAGTGTTAATTGTAGTGTTTGTAATCAAATAATATTCAATGAGATTGAAAAAAGAAAAGATGAATGAATGACTGATATGAGCGCCTCTTTTTTGTTGAAAATATAGCAATCATTGACGACGACCGATCACAACTTCTTTCTTTTAATGTTGCATTCCAATGTTTATATCTTTAATCATTAAAATATATTCTACGAAAAAAAGAATTGAAATTATAGTTGTAATTGTTTCTTAACTTTTATTGCAGTGCAATGTGAATTTAAAACTCAACGGTTTATCACATAATGTATCTAAAAACGCATAAAATATCGCAATAGAAGTATTAGGATTAATTATGTGGTATAAGAGTTCCGATATATATCAGAGTAATGATTTAATTTATTACTTAAATAAACTTATTACTTTTTAATAACTTTGATTGAGTTTTTTTGTTCACAAGGAAAGAGTTCATCGATGTGAGTTGAATATGAAATGAATGAAAAATTCGATCAATAAAAAACAATCATGGAAGAGATAAAAAACATTGGAAAATTTTTCAGAAGGAACTTTAAAATATGAAAGAATGTGAAGAAAATGTTTGTATGATTTGGCGAAATATTTTAAAGTTGTTGAAAAGCAATGATAGTGACAGCTGATTGTTTACTGCAAAAGAATGGAAAATTAAGAAATTGAGAATTGGAAGTGACCAGATGATGAAATACTTCCGATGGCACTGATAACATAGCCTAGTTTTTAACAGTCACTAATTGGTGGGAATGCAATATAATCAATGAATAGTTGGAAAGTTAGAATTCGAAAATATCAAGATCACATTTTAAAGAGAGGATATGAAGCAGAGAAATAAAATAATTTAGTGATAGGATAAAACAATGATGAAATGGAATATAGAATATGTGAGAAAGAGAGAAAGAGATTATTGATATTTATAGGAGTGGGAATAATCTCGAGCTCAAAGCCTGAGGTGCTAAAAGAGAACAATAAGCGAAGAGTGGAATAAAAAGATGTTAAGGGAGGGATTGAGATTTGCTAAAGCGGTAATTTGTTTCCCTCTTTGCTTTATCCTCCTGTCCCTCTCATTTTCCCTGATATTTTCATTCGTCCATCACTACTATCACTACTAACCAACCGTACCCGATCGCCATCATTACCATTACCATCACCATCATCATCATCATCATCATCATATCACCACCACCACCACCATCACCACAACTACCACCACCACTACCACTACCACCACCAGCTCCATCAGCGTCACCAACACTATCGTCATCACAGCCACTGCTTCTGCTACCGCCACCGCTACTACGTCACCGTCACCGTAATAATCATCGTCATCATTAGTGGATCCATTCCGATCGAAAGTATTGGGGTCAATTATTGCGCGGTCGCTCAATCTGCTTCTGTGTGGGTGTGTACGTATTTACACTCTTCCAATTGTTGTACACATTTATAATATAAATGCTCTTCTCAGGAAGTTCTTCAGCAAAAGTGAAAAAGGATGAGAAAAAGGAAAAGAAATTAGAAAAAGGTAAAGCTTTCATCTATTCAATTTTCATCTTTCATTTATAGCTTAATTAATTTGCAACTTATCATTGATTATCTTACAATTGTTAACTTTCATTTTGACTTGATCGAAGGCATTTTTCCTGAGATTTAGCGATCGACTAATTAAACATTCTTAATTATGTAAGCCATTCCTCAGATAATCATTTATCCATTTCTCTCTCTCTAATTCTTTCTTCATCCACAATTTTATTTCATATTAAAAATTATTTTAAGTATATGCTGAAACGGTTAACTTTTGATATATAAATATTTAAAATATTTAAAATCAAAATTTTTATCAGTTAATAATCAAAATATCTTTAATGTTCACTATTTACTAAATACGTTGTATCACTTTTTCACGTCAAAAATAATAATTTATCGCAAAATTTTATTATGTCCAATTTTGGAAATAATTAATTGAAAAAATTGATCATAGTAAAAAGTTTCTTTTCAAGTAACTTACTCACAACTGAAGCCAACTTATCATAGTGAATGAACTGAAAAGTGAAGCGTATCCCTATATCATGCAAAATTAGAAATTATAATTATTTGAATTAGGACGAATATCTGTTCTGTTAAAACTTTTTAACCTATTTGATTAGACATTCTTTTTGGGAAAGTAACATTAATAAGTTATACTTATCCTTCTTCATATCGGTGCCATTAATTGAAATGAGTCATTTATTCGTATTCACTTCATTCCAAAATAAATATCAAATTTTAAAGTGAGCTTTAGTATCTCAATCAATTTCATAATCTGTTAATAATACTATTGAAACAAATATTCAATCAAATAATTGATGTTTGAAGAATTGAAAATAGATTTAGTGCAAAAATATTAATATTTAAAAATTAAATCTCCTTCCTGTCTCGGCTAGCTTCTCGAGAACTAACTCTCGATAAGGATAACTTGAATAAATAGCTAATCTCTAAGAATTCCAAAATATCTTTTAATCATTTTTTCCTTCTCTCTCTCTCTCTCTCTCTCTCTCTTCTCTCTTCATGGAGCATTTTTATAACACATCGTAGTTCAATTTTTTTCTGGGAATTAATTAAATTTAGTGCCATCAATGGTGTAAAATGAAAAATTACGACTTATTAATTACTGTATTAATTATTCTATTCCTAATCTCCAAAATTTACCTTTATTTATTCGTTTAATGAAATTGTTGATAATATCGTATGAAGAATGATTATACAAGCCTTAGTCGATCTTCTATTCTCTCTCAGTTTATGTGAACTGTCTGAGAGTTCTTCTCGTCGTATTACAACAAAATCATTCAACTCAATTATCCTATTAATTGATTACCTGAAAATCAATATAAATGTAGAAGAAATATAATACAAAAATTGAATGTCATGGATTTATAAATGATGACACATTCATACGACTTATTGATTGAGTAAAAAATTTATATTTAATGAATCATAAAACAATTATTTCTTCTCTTTTCTGAAAGCTTGTAATTTGACGAATTGAAAAATTCAAAATTCTAAACTATCAATTAAGTCAATCATTAATCGATAGTTTAAAACTTTGGATAACATGATAAAAATTTTTCAAATTTTTGAGTAAACAAAAATTGTTCGGCTTTAAAAGGACTTCAGTCACTGACTGCAATAAATATTCAGTTTTTTGTTGCACTGCATGTATAAGTGTAGTTAACAGGCGCTTCTTAAAGAAGCACCGCTGAATCATCCTCTCAATTCATCTTCCGGTTAAGATGAGAGGTATGAAATGTTTACAAAATTTTGTTAGGAACTTCTATTATCTGCTTGACAGAGTTTGGATCGAAATAATTTTGAAACCTAATTTTGGAATTTTGTGCAAATGTTATTACAAAAAGAAATTGAAAGCAATTAAAGGAAATGATTTGCAGATGATCGATATGATATGCAGGTGGCTGTCTTTGTGCGTTGGGCAAATTCGTTGGCTGGCGGAACAGTGAGAGAATTGAGCGATATTGTCGATACGAAATTTCTGTCTATTTTTGTGCAACTTATCACTGGCGATTCATTTGTAATTTTTATGATTGTTTTTAACTTACATTGGAGTGAAGACTTTTTTGATGAAATTTCTAAATTCAATTTTTTCAATTTTAATATGATTTAAAAAATTTCATTTTAATTTCTCTCTCTTTCTCGAATCAAAATTCGAGAACAGGAAGAAAGAATAGACCATTTTAAGAGAGCCATAGAGAGTCTGACTACACATTGGGATACACATTCAGCTTGATATTAACTGCCTAATTGTAGCGGATAACTGAAATTTCGTGTCCTGATAATATCTATATTTATATTAATATTTCAGATAAGCTCAGGTTCTCGAATACAAGATATATCAAATGCGCTTCGGCTTATCGATAGTGATGAATGTTTTAGTCAGATAAACATCAGTGAACTTATTGATGGAAATCCTCGAGTCATATGTTCCATTGTTTGGCAACTCATACAAGTTTTCTGGAGAAGGTCAGTGCTTAGGTTATATGAAAATTTAAATTTTAGCAAGAATTTATCAGTTTAAATTTGTCTTTCTTTGAACAAAAAGATAAGTAATTATTGTTCATATCATCCTTTTTAGGATTTGAATTTCATAGCTTTGTAGAGGGTAGTTTGGAAATAGTAAATTTCTTTCCTTTATCACTCTTAATTATCGCTAATTAACACTTGTTCATTAATATAAAAAATAGTTTAAATGAATTCCATTTTATTATTTCTTACTTCTATGATGAATGTCTTACTGTTATAGTACACAAAAGAACTTCAAATATCTTAAATTATTCATTATAATCTCAAATTTCTTATTCTTTGGTAAGATAGGATTTTGATAGTGTCCGAGCATTTAGTAGCAAATAAATTTTTAATTCAAATATATTAATTGAATTTTTATTAAATTTCAGATTCGCTCCAGCTGATGTTCGTGATCAAAAAATGGTGGAGGCGCTGAAAGATTGGTGTGCTGAACGAGCGCAACGATTTGGAGTGCAAATTAATGATTTCATCTCATCATGGAGAGATGGCTACGCCTTAAATGCTATCTTATTGTCTTATAAGTTTGTTTACATAATATTTGGTAATGAATGCATAATGCAATTTAAGGATGGCACTCAAATAGAATAGGAGAATCTCAGTGGTTTAAAATTTTATTCAGAAATATATTCATTTTCATAGATTTCCAAGAGAATTCTTAATAATAGAATTTGAGGGACATTTAACTTGTAATTTAAAACAGTGTGGAATTGTCATTGTGTATGATTGAAATAAAAAATCAATAATCAAAAATTTGACAATTAATTTAAAGACTTCTGTAAGTAAAAAAAGCATGTTTAGAATGGATTAATCTTGAAAGAAGATAAATAAATAGCTAAAAAATTTCTTATGAAGTAAACAATTAATAAAGAACTTCATGAATTTTATTTCCAGCCCAGAACTATTCAATATGAATCAGATAAAAGATATGCGAGCAGTTGATCGTATTGAACATGCAATGAGTCTAGCAAAACGAGATTTTAGTACTCCACGTCTTCTTCAACCAAAAGGTTTCTCACATTTTATCTGCCATTCATAATATTTACTTTATTAAAGTTATAGTCTATTTGAGACTCTAATAATAAGGGGTAATATTTTTCCTTCCATAAAGTTTCCTCCTATACGATTACTTATTAAGCGAAAAATAGGTGGGTAACATTGTTATATGCCTTTCGCGATATTCATTTCATTTGTTAAATGACATTTTTACTTCATTAATTATTTTGCAATTAATATGAATGCTTAAATATTAAACTAACCATTAAAGATAAAAAAAAGAAATTATTTTCCAGATTTTTCCAGCGAACATTTGGATAAGAAAAGTGTTGTATGTTACTTGATGGTACTCTATCTCTCATTATTAACTGAAGTTCCATCATCGGAATCTGAACTTGAACCACAACCATTTGAACAACCAACAGAATCATTGGAATCTTCTAAAAGTTCACAAAGCTCGATGATAACCAGGCAAAAAATTGCTGTAAAAAGCAATTCGCAATCTATGATAGATTCAGTATCATCATCGGGAGAGACTATCCAAACTGAAATAGAATACCCGCTAGAGACAAATCTCGAACAAATCCCTTCTACTTCATCATCCAGAAGACAATCACAGCAAACTAGCGAAGTTAGTTTGCCTAATTTTTAAATTCATCATGTCACACTTAATAAGAAAAAATAGTTATTTCATAACTGCAATGGAAAAATGAGAATATCTCGGGAGAATTGATGTATCAATGTAAAATTCAAAATTTCATCGCGATGTTACTACCTCTAAGTTCCGTCTTGGGTATTTCAAATTTAGATTACTTAACATGAGTTAAAAAATGATTGGCATTCGACGAGTCGATAGTTCAACAAATTTGCTCTCACTTTGATAATTAAGCCAATTTTCTGGCAGTAATTTAATTGCCACTTCTACAAGTCATTATTTATTATTTTCTAAAGGATATTTTTATGTGGAAAGGAAGAAATGTTAAATCGGAAAATTAAAAGTTTCAACTATAAAAATATTTGGAAAAAGATTTGTGTGTTTGGTTCAATGAATTGAGAATAGTAATTTAACGCTCTTTGATGAGTTGTCATTTCAATCATTCACTTAGTCCTTCGTCATCAACACAGCTGTGAAAAATTTATCATTTTAAAAGGGATCGAAAATTGGAAGGAATTAATAATTTCATTAATTCCAATTTATGGAACAAAATTTCAAAGAATAAATCTTTGTAGAAAAAATTAATAAAATAAAAATTTTTTTCCCCCAAAATTTAATTTAAAACATTCGAAAATTGATAATCAAATTTATATTAAAACGTTTAATTAATTTAAATTCAAAAAACTTTTCAGAATGTTAAGAAAAGGCTTATTTTCTAACTTAAAATTCTTTTTTAATATAATATTTTTTGAAATAATTATTAATTTATAATGTTAGAAACACTTGAATATGAAGAAATTCGTATGGTTTATATAATTTTTTCAATTCGTTTCAATTCGTTGACAGTTTTTCAATGTAGAAGTTTAAGATAAAATTTATTAAAGTCTTATATAATTTCTAAATTTTATAATTCTAGCTCTACTGAAATTAGCTTCGATTAATCGATCATCTTTTTAAATTAAGAAATTCCACGTGCCGTTTGTGTTCACTATCAATGAATATCGTACTACAATGTAACTATCAATGAATATCGTACTCTTATGAAAGAACAAACGAAATTGCATAAATGATAAAAGTGATATGAAATGATGCAAAATGAAAATTTAATTACTCGAAATCGAATTTGTGATATTTATGAATAGAAATAAAGATGAAAATAGATTATTTATGCAATGATATTATTAAAAATATCAGCTCAAGAATGATGAAAAATTGATTTGATGTTTGAATGCTTTCGAGATAGCTTCTCGGTTATCTAAGCTTCTCAGTTATCCAATTCCATCATCACCAATCCCTTTCCCTCTTCTTTCTCGAAGTTTAATTTGATTTTATCGAAAATTTTAGCATACTACAGGAAATTCTCTGCTTTCTATACAATCTATCATCTTATAGCATTTCAAGTTTTTATTTCTGTAATTTGTATATCTTAAATTAATCAAAGAAATTAAGATTTAATTTTTTTTCTTTTCAGAATTTCGAGATTCAATCATGCAAATCTTCCACATCAAGCCAGAAATCAGCTCGACGACACGGTAAATCGATGGAAGAGACGATTGTTGAATTTGAAGAATGCTTGGAACATGTTCTGGCATGGTTACTTGAAGCAGAGGAACAAGCTAATTGCATGAAATCGATTGAAAAAGATGATGTAAACTTTGATTTATCTTTTTTTAAGGATTTAATTTAATTTGATTTATCGAGAATAATACTGGGAGATTTGATGACTTTCCTGATTTTAATTGATTCCTTTTAATATCCATATTTTCTCATTCAAATTTGCGAATGGAAAAGAGAAAGTAAATGTGGAAAAGCGATAGTCATTTCAAAAAAAATTTCGAATTTTGTAGGTGGAGTTAGTGAAAAGTCTATTCAAAGAGCATGAAATGTTTATGCAATCACTGACCGAAAGTCAGGATGGTGTTGGCCGAGTGCTGCATAGGTTTGTTGTTGACAACTGCACTATCTTTTTTTATTACTGTGATTTGAAAAAGAGATTTGAATAAGTTTAAATAAGTGCACTAAAAAAGTACTTACAATAAGTATTTTTTTAAAGCACTTATTTAAACGTACGGCAAATACTTATTTGAACTGATAAGTACTTATTTTGTGATAAGTACTTATTATAATTATTGAGGTAATTAATTATGTACTTATTTTAACGTTGTATAATTTGCTTTTTAACGCTGCACAATTTGTATTTCTGAAAAATTTTCATGCAATTATTTTTTTACGATAAAATTCTTAAATACTTTCTCTCTCTTTATAGTTTAAAAAAATTATTCAATTTTTTTGAAGAGGTCAACAATTGGTGCAAAAAATGGAAGAAGAAGAAGCGGCCGCAATTGTCTCTCAGTTATTAATGGTGAATACGAAGTGGGAACGAATTAGAGAAATTTCAATGTTACGACAAAATCAACTTCAGCATTGTCTTAATTCAATTCAAATCGAACAACTTGAATCCATTAGGTTAATTTCTCATGCAGTTTTGCTTTTTATTGCTTTTGCAATTGATTTGCAACTTCATGCTGAACAAAAAATACAGACATTAGTCTTTCAGAAATTTATATTATATTCCAACATTGATGCTATCATGTAGACAATCTTTACAATTTTTTTTCGTATTGTATTTTGCTTTGTTTCTGTTGAAAATATAGTCTTGAAAAGTTTATGAACTTTACGGAAATTTAAATTCTAAATAAAATTGATAATTTATTTGCGGAATTTGTAGCATTCTTATAAAATATCGTTCATATAATAAAGTAATATTAAATATAAATGAAATTCTTACATTTATTTTGTTTACTTTTTTTTGCAAATTAACTTTTATATTTTGCATAAGTTCTAATAATGTTGCATTGTAATATTTGATAGTGTGATTTATTACTAAATATTAAAGCAATTTTTAACGATTTCCTATTCATTTCTGATTTTCATTTTGCAATGAATTTGTTTTCAGTTTTTGAAATGAAATAATTTTATCGTTTAGAAAATGGTTAGATAGTATGGAAGAAGAAATCAAAAATGCGCCACCTCTAACAATGAATGGAAATGAAATTAGACAATTAATTGATACTCATGCAGCAATTCAAAATCGTATCGAAAATGAACAAAAGGTAAATTTGATTAATTCAATTAAATTACTGATTTCATTACATACCTTATGCAAGTGGAAATATATGAGATTACAAAAATTGAGGAATAAAAACTTGCAACAAATTATTTTATACAATATTCTTCTTAATTGGTCATTGAAAATGATACAAGGCGGTCATTTAGATAGTGTAGGGGTGGTCAAGTATAAAACGGTCAAGGGAACCAAATAGTTTTGCAAAAATAAATATCACCATTCCATCAGTAAATAGATAAGAAATTTTACTGGTAAATTTTTAAAAAAAGTAATTGAAAGATATTAAATGACTAATGTGAGCATGATTAGGCCTTTACTCTCTTACCTCTTATCATATATATGTGTGTGTGTGTGTCTGTGTATGGTTACATATTTTCTAAAAATGATTCGAAAACATGAAATGTGTCCTGCCACTCTTCTATGCTTCTTTCAATTTCGTTCAAAGTTAAAATAATTCATCTGTGGTTGTGTTGCGGAAAATTCTTTAGCAATAAATCATTGGCCAAATTTTCTTCACTTTGCGTGCATCATTTTTTTGATAATTAATTTTTCGTTAAATAAAGGAAAAATGAAATTATTGATTTGTCGTAAAATTAGTCTCCGATTATTTCCCGGATGAAGTGCTAATTTATTGCTGTAAAGTAGAATCAGAATCATCAAATGGCCACCACCTATAAGCTACATTTAAACAAGTGAAACGAAAACGGAATTGAATACAAACAGTATTAAATAAACTTATTAAAATGTTAGATTTATAATAAGGCGAAGTTTTGAAATAAAAGAAATTGAATCTTAACTTCTTCAATCCAAATATTCAAGAAATTCAACTTCCAAACGAGAAATAGTTCTACTGGAGTGTTGATTTAAATTTAACTGTGCTGTAAAATTCTGTAACTTATGTTCTCTTTTTTTGAAAATTATTTTCCAAAATGAAAATATGTACATTATGATAATAAATGTTCAGACTTAATTGCTCGTTAGTTCTAACAAGTTGTATTTAATTATATATTTGAATGAATGAAATGGATTAGTTGGCAGCTCTTTACCAATAGTTTAAATCCTACCATCTTTTATTATTAGTTGAATTAAAAAAAGCTTACTCTCTTTTAAAGCGATAGTTTCTAACTTTCATCTCATTCTAATACTTTCAACAGAAATAAATGCAAAGTACTTTTGAGTGAATTTATTTTTTATGAATAATTTCATATTTGATTAAATTACTTTTCCATTTCTGTCCATAATGAAATTTGCTGGAAATAATTTGCGTACTATTATTTGATTTAGGAAATTTTCCATTTATTTTCGAACTTTTATTTTCTCTCAAAAAATTTGTTGAGATAAGAAGAGAAAAGAAGAAGAGAAAGAAATGAAAAATTAAATTGAATGCTTTTCAACAACCCTTATTTACTTACATTGTCTTATTAATCATCCCATTTATCACATACATATTTTTATTGCTGAAATTTCTTCCCTAATAAAAATGTCTTCATTTTAAAATATTTCTTTTCCTTCTTTATATGATTCCTTAAATTTTCTATTTCATATTTAATATCAAATTTAAATTTATCCAAAAATTAGCCTAAAACTTTTCTAAATTATTTTCAAATGTAAAAAGAAAAATATGAGGAAATCTTTGTTAAGGAATTTCATTGTGTAAGTATGTATAAGTGATAGTTTATTAATTATAAAATCTAACTCTTTTCGTTCCTCCAAATTTATTAACTCTAACATAAATTTAATCAATTTCGATTTTTTATTTCAAATTCTTTTTTTGTTGAGTTTCTTATCAAAAACTTTAGTGAACTATCTCTAAATGTTAGGTAATAAGAAATATAAGAGACAGGTAATATATATTATTTTATTTTTCCTGTTTAATTACTTTCTGTTAATTAAATGCAACAACTACAGATCGTTCGAGGCTTGTCAACATTTGTAGCTGTGGTAGACGAATCGGATTCTCATTTTTCATACGAAAATCTGGAAAAATTATTACAATCTGTTGGACAAAGGTTATTTGTCTTTTTAGCTTTTGTTCACATAAATGCTTTTTGCTTTTTTTATTTATTTTTAATTCGTTTAGCTTTCTAAAGATTTGTTGAAAACGTTGCTTACTTGTCACTTTGATGGAGAAGAATTTTTCTCTTTCGAACTTTGAGAGTTATGAAAAAGAAAATTTGAAATTAAAAAAGTCATTTACACTCTTTTAAAAAAAAACAATTGAATTCTTAAAATTTTTCCCCTAAAAAAAAAACTTTTTGCATATTTGGTATATTATGTTGAAATATTTTAATTGGCAAATTTTCATTTTCTCAGATAAATTTTTGCAGATGGATGAACGTCTGTGAATGGGCTGAAATGCGTGCACGACAATTAAATGGTTTATCAGAATTGATCCCTCAATATACCTCAGCATATCATAAGATTTTAGAATCGCTTGATAATTGGGAAGGAGTAAGTTGAAATGATTATGCTTTTTTTTAATCGTCCTGTCTATATTCTCCAATAAGTTTAGGAGGAATCGGGAAGTTTTTCCGGAATATCCTTGCGATTTAGCCAAAAAGATAAAAAAAAAAATGTAACATATACATTCATTATCCTAAAATAAAATTCACTTTGGATAATGCTAATTAATATCCTGATAAAACTACTGATAAGCTATATAGCGAAGGAAGATAATGTTAATAATAGCTAAAATCTCTTATCATTACTGTGCCACAAAATAATTTCACGGCAATCAATTACACCTTTATATGCTTAATTTTTATTTCATCAATTCATTGTTCATATTCAATTATTATAAAATAAATGAAATTAATATTAAAAAGCAGAAAGGAAAATTAACGGAGAATAGATTTCAATGATTGATGTGTTAAGTGACGTGACGCAATCGCTGTAGATGTCTTTTTCATTTCACATTTATTGATGTTTCGTCTTTCTAAACATTTCAAAATTCATCGGCTCTCCTAACTACTATACTTATTCCGTATATCTTACATTTCTAATTATTACGATAGTTTTCTTTTCAATCACTTACATTCCATAAATTCTAAAATAATAAGACAAATAATTGCAGGTTTCCGGTTATTAAATATGATACATTTGCGCATTGGCGGTTTTATTTTTTCATTTCTGCATGGTCGATTGGCTAGTACGTAGGCTACAAAAGTTAAAAACGTTGATAGGAAGTGCTAAAGTCATTATTGCTTAACTCAACAATTCCGTGCTTTTTCCTCTTTAATTAATTCACTCATTCCAAAATTCTTTTCATTTATTTTATTTCATTTCTTATTTTAATACCCTAAAATACTTTTTTCGATTAATAAAGCCTTTACTAAACAGTAAAAAGCATTTTATTTATGCCTTATCTTATCTTTTGTTAAGTAAACATTCATTAGCTGTGCCATTTATGCTATTTGATAGAAAAGTATATGATAATTTGTTAGGAAGGGCAGTTGTAACCAATAAGAAATAACCTTGTGGCAAAGATAAAATATGCAAAATTCATTTATTTGGCATCTCTTTTTGAATGTTATCCAAAATAGCTGCACATTAAGACTGTCAATAAGTAATCAGTAATGAATAATTTAAGTGTGATTGAAAGTATTTGGAAATCTGCGCTCTTCTATAGATGAAATATTTCCACAGAAGATATTTAATTATAGTTTACGAACGATTTTTTTTCTTTTTTTCATTTAAAAATAAAATGATGATGCTGTCCAATAAGTTGTTCACTTTTATTCTTAGCTGCCAATTTTTACTGATACCTACTGGATCCGAAATTTATCTTTACTGATACATACTGCGTCAGAAATTAACTTCGAGCTTCGAAATGTATTCAATCATGTTTTGCCTTCTATGCAGCCATTGAAGAATTAGAATAAGTAATAGTATGAATTTTATAAATCTTAAAATCTATTCTTTATTCGCCGCAATCAGGAATGGATTCCACATTACTAATAGAGGGCAAATTTTCTTTTTTGATAATTGATAATGGAGTAATTTCAAAGTAATGACTTATAATAAATGTCACTTTTATCAATTATCACAAAATATCTCCTCCTTCGAAGAGTAATTTTTTGAATTTACATCACTTTCAAGTTTATGATTTCCATTTTCTTTTTTTAATTATTTCTACCAATCATTAAGTTGCATTTAATTGAAATTATTTTTTTTCAAACTATCTGTTTTATTCGTTGATTTTTAACACAGGATATGGGAAGCCTACGAACTACAGATGAATTAAAGGAAGAAAATGAAGTAGTTGATCAGGTTTGTCGAATACAGAAATTCGAATCTTCCCTTCAAAAAGGCCATCCTGATTTTGTACATCTTTCACAACTTGCCGTTGAATTGATCAGTAAACTTGACAACTCAAATGAAGAAGATGCTAATCAAATTCGACAGCAAATTGAAACAGTAACGCAGCGTTGGGATAATATTGTTGCTCGAATTGATGAACATTCCCATATGGTTTATTCCATTCTCAATTATTTTTCTTGAACAGAGAAAAAAAGACTTAGATTTATTTCATTTGAATTTTAATTCACAATTATTACCAAAACCTGTCATTTTTCAGTATTAATTAAAAATAATCTATCGCTTCACTTTTTTTATTGTTTGCCAAATTGTTTGAGCTATGATTTCAATTCCACAAAAGTGTAAAGGTTTATTAGAAAAGAAATTTTAATCATTCAGTTAGTGAGAAGTGGAAAAGCTGAAGCACGACAGCTTCGATCTGATGATGGCAATAAAGAGGATTATGGCACTGTTGACACCAATGAAGATTATTGTCTGAAGATGGACAATCAGCTGGAAAGTCAACCATTGGTAAGTTGAATTGTTGTTATGAAATACTAGCTAAACTAAGCTACTTATCTGGAAATGAAAGGAAATCAAAACTTATTTCGTCAAATTTGAAATAAAATAAGAAATACATGATCGATTTCATCGAAATTACTTAGTTCTTCCAATGTTAAATACATTCAAACGATACACATTAGTTATGAGATTGGGTATTAACTATGATATCCAATTGAGTTAGGTATTTCAGTTCTATAATTAACCTATCTCAATTATAATTAAGCGAAAAAATAAACTTACACCTATGAAATCATTAAGATAAAATTTTAAGTTTGATTTAGCACTGACTTTATTAATGAGATAATTTATGTCAAGTATGGATTATATCATTAATATGTCTTTTTATGAAGTTTATTATCTATTTGTTGAACTATACTTAATATCAATGCAGCATAGTTAAAGTGATCCTACGCATATTGTCATTCTATATATTGTTATTGAGATCTCTGAGATTTGCACTCTTTTTTTCAGTCGACAGTACAGTTTACCCCACAAAAAACAATCGACCCGATAGTTTCTTCCTCACCAACTCCTTCCGTCAATACAGTAATTTCATCAGTTGATGTTTTCATTGCAAATGTAAATCAAATTACTGAGGAATTAAAACCATTACTTGAATGGACATATCAAATTAAAATCACTCGAAATCCGAATGAACTCCAAAGTTTCATACAAATTTGTCAGGTAATTTAATTTTTGAAAAGTTTGTTATATAATACACAAAAATATGTTACAAAAATATATTATATTTATGGCGTATAACTTTTGCGTTAGTTTTATTTCAAGTAATCAGTTAGTGATAATTCAAAATAGCATTATCCTACAATTTGGAACAGACACGATGTTAGTTGTGATTAAGACCTAAAATTCTTGACATACTTTTTTTTATAGGATAAGCTGAAGGAAATTAAAGAAAAAGAAGTCGAAGTAAACACATTGCGTGAAGAATTGGATCGGATTCATAATTCGGATATTTCTATTTCTCAATTGCAACTTGCGGACGATTCATTTCAAAATTTCACTCAAATTTGGTCTGATATTACTACCAAAATATCAGATGCATTAAATTCCATATCAATGCAAAGTGCCTTAATTGGCGGTTAGTGAATGATAATTAATTATTTTTATATATCAAATGAAATTTTGATTTCTATCACTTGTCAGATAGTTGCAAATAATATGGAATTTAGCAAAAGATAACCGATCTGATATGTTATTTCAAATAGAGAAAAGTAGTCTGAGAAAGGTAAGTATAAAATAATCTAAAATTGTGGATGTTAAATGGTAGCAATTTTTTAAATAAAACTAAACTAAATTTTCCTACTATTTTGGTTAATTTTTCCTTTTTTTAAGCTGAAAATGATGAAGAAATGGAACGAATAACAAAACAATTAATTGAATTTTTTGAAAAATCCGAAAGTGTTGTTTCGAATTGCGCTCAAATATCGTTAATTGAACGTGAAGAACGTGTGACTAAGTTACAGAAGCAACTGCAAGAACAGGATGAGAATATCAGATTTCTAGAGGTCAATCATTCTAATAAAGAACAAGTGAGTTGATTTTTTATCTTTTCTAATTTTTTTCAATCTACTTTTTCTAAATGAAGGAAATACTAAAAGTGAAATGGAAACTTCTGTAATTTGCCGGAAACAAGCAAAATTTATTTTAACATAGAAGTTAGAACAGGTAGTAGTTCATAAGAAAAGCTGTGGAACCAGTAATGAATGATAATTGCATATTTAATATATATTAGCATAAAGATACCCAATTACGACAACCCTCAAAGTTTGATTCTATTGCTTGTCTCCTTTTATGATTATCTTTCAATGTTTATAGCTTCTGAAACCTAAGAAAGATATATTGAGAATGGGTAAACTATTGAGACTATCCCTAAAAGATACAAATTAAAATGAAAGTAAAGAAGTTATCAATTAATTTTAAAATGAATTTTATAATCATTTGAATTATTACTATATATGTACAGCTGGAAGATAGCGTATTCTTTCTTTTTAATTTGAGATTGGAGATTTAAAGAAACGTCTGGCGAAGCTGAAAGAATCCGTGGAAAAATTGATAGAAAAAAATCCAATTATCGAATGTTTCGAGAATTACTTACGTTCCACATTTCCATGTGCTGGTGATATCAGTACGTTAACTAGCGAACTTGAACGTTGTGATGTGAGTATTTTATCAAAACTCGTTCTAGCTCTCTTATTTTTTTTATTTTAAAGTGGCAGAAATAACATTAATTGTTTTTTTTTTAAAATCGATCTTATTCAAAGATCACAATCGAATGTGAAAATTAAAATTTCAAACCTAAGATATTATTTTTATAATGAATTAAAATTGGCAAAATTAATTTGTTTAGGAATTACTCAAAGAATTGGAAAATTTAAATTTAAAGAATCCAAAAGTGGAACGGTTGAAAAAGTTGGGCAATGCAAAACGTGCTAGTCTCGCGGATTATTTAGAAAGAAGTCATCGGAATGATGAAAAGACAACAGTATCTGAGAATATGCTCTCTGCATTAACCGATCGATTTGCCGCTCTAAAAAGCGCAAAACTTGAAGTACCTGAGCTATACAAGCAGTTTACGGTTTGGTTTGTTCTACTGAGTAGTAACTTAGACATTTTTAATCTATTTTTTGAGTCAATGCATATTTTGACTTTTTAGAAATCAAAACTGACGGTAATACTCTAAAAGAAATGCATAATGCTGGATAATGAACGATTTATTTCAATGTAGCTGACTTATTCATTTTTCAATGAGAATTATTCTGGAATTTCCTATCATATAGCTTTTTAGGAACTGCAAAAGGATATCCAAAAAGGTTTAACAATTCAAAAGGAATCGATAACTCTAAATGAAGAAATAATGTTGATAACGCTTAGTAGTTCAGCGTCTAGTCGTGATCGAATCTTCCAGAAGTTAAAAAATCGGATGCAATTAACTGTTGCTGGTTGGAGTACCTTAGAAGATGATATCGATGAAAGTATAGCATTACTGGAAAAGGAAATTAAACGACTTCAGCAAAGTATATCTCTAAATTGTCTATCTAAAATGAAATTGAGGAAATTTGTGAGCAGTAATACTTTTAGATATCTGAATTAAAATATTTCTTTTTTGGTAATAAGTCATTCGGCGGTATGAAATGAAAAGAAAAAAATTAAGAAAATAAGAAGACACAAAATGTGAACAACCAGAAGGGTTCCCGGTAATCTAACTTTCCTAAAAGAAATTTACATTGCCAAATAATAAATAATTTATTTCAATCCATTTGTTCTAATAGATCAGGTTCTCGAATTGCTTGTTTTTAAATATCAAATATCAACGATTATTTAAAAATGTTTGTCTTTAGATTAGGATATGTAAGTGTACTTTGTAAAATCATTGATCAAAATAAAACTCCAATTCAAAAAGTTATCAAAGTCGGACTTCATTAAAAATTTTTTTCGAATATTTTGGGATTGAACTATTTGCAAATTTTTTTGTTAATTTTGTAATTGTAATTGTAATTTAAGTTTTTTTAAAATTTATTTATAGGTGCAATACGAGAGTTTCAACGAAATTTAGATAAGCTTCGAGGTGCTATTGATGCCAGTCGTGATGCAACAGATGCCGAAGAATTCAGCGAACATTTATATGTTCGATTTTTTTATTTTACTAATTTTGACAATAATGAAAAAGTGTTTTGTCAAAAAAAAAGTTGACTCTAATTTCTCATTTATTTTAGAATTTGGAACATTTATATGAAACAATGGAAACAGCTGACAAAGAATTAGAAAATTTGTCGGGAATAAATGAACGGATAGGAAGAGATGTTAGCTTTTCCTAATTTATTTTGAAAACTGCTTGCGGAAAGATCAAAAGTGAAAAAAAATTTTTAAATTTAATTTGCTTGAGGAAGGAGACATTATAGACAAATAGATATAAAGATATGAAAAGTGAGGAAGAACAAAATTATTGATTAAATGGAGAAAGTTTTATAAAATTATATTAGGTAATTATTTATAGCTTAATAACATACGTGAACAACGGCATGATGTATTAGTGCAAGCAAAAGAACGTATCGAAGAGCTTGAGGCAGCCATTCATAATTGCGAGCAATTCGATAGTTCGTTAACTGAATGTCAGGCCTGGTGTAATCATGTACAATTGATATTATCATGTCGAGCTGCAAATGATGTTTCTGCCTTTGATGTACCACATGAATATAAGGTTAATATTAATTAAACTCATTGTAAACTTTGATATTTCTTCTTACTCATATTGAATTCATAAATAAGATAAACTTTGAAATGCGTGAAAAATTAAACGTATTCACCTTTTTTAATTAAAATAGGTGCATTATATAAAAACATTTCTTATCATTTCATAAATGAATTTATTTTTTTGTATGCTATAAAAGAATCCGGAAAAACTTACGTTTGTTTTGAATATATTACATAATGCTTTAAAATTAACTTCAAATGAGTAAATTCTACAATTATTAGCTACTAATTCAAGTAATTTAGTTATTTGCATACGCATTTAAATTAATCGTACAGCGTGAAATACGTAAAACACGTGAAATACTAAAAAATGAATGATTCTATTGATTCACACATATCACATGTAAATTGTTGAAAATGATATTATGAGTAGATGAACTGAAGCAATTCTTATTAGTGATACAGTGAGGGGTAATTGAAAATTTCTGTAAAATATATATCAGAAATGTAAGTTTCAATTCAATGAAAAATATAACATATTGGAATGGCAGAATTGATGAATTGTTCAGTGAATAGTTCATTTTGCTAGCATTCTGTCATATTTTAGTTATGCTTAAATTGTGTTGTTACAATGCTTCTTTAACCTTTCACCTTTTTAAAATAATGCGCGAAATAATAAAGCTTTTAATTTTATTTATATACCGCTTTAATAATTGAAATTTGATAAAAGATATTTTTTTAATTTTTTCAGATTTTTGAAATCACTTCAATTAGCAATCTCTAAATGTCTAATGCAATCAATCATATGCTTTGCTTCATCTTACAATAACCATTTACGCATAACTAACACACTTCCAATAAACAAAATGTTTTATTTAATATAACTTATCGGTTATCAGTAATATAAACTGTTAAATTCTAGCAAACCAGAACAACCGGATACAGTAATACTTTGAAGAAATTTACTTTAAGGTTGAATATTTTCCCGGCAAAGTAGAAGTCTTTAGTTGCTTTTGCTACTGTCTTTTGTTTTCTATTTTGTTTCTTTTATGGTTGCAATAAATTTATTCCAATTCTTCTGCTAATCTGTCATCAATTTTTTTTCCTTAAAATACAATAGTTGAAAACTGTTCATTTCAGACTGCTTTTTCAAATGGGACGCTTATTGCGGTGAGTTCAGAAGCACTTCTCTTAGGCATTTCATTTTCTCTCTCTTTTTTTCGACTCAGCCAATTTCCTTTCTTCTTGCTTTATTGCAAATTTCGGGTCGTCCAAATTTTAAAATTGAAAGTATTGAAAATTTATTTGCATGCGCATATTTGTTAAATGGAAAGAGAAAGAACGGAGAAAGGATTTTCATTTTTATCTAAAACGAAAACACACACATACACATACACACATATCAATTTATTTTATACAATGATTCATATCCTTTTCAAATTTCAGCAACTTCAAAAAGAATTTGATGATTTCGAATATTGCATCCGAGATCTCCGGGAATTCGTTATCAAAAATACCAGTGATTGGGGCACTCCAAATCGTTTACAATTACAATTGGATCATATTACTGTAAGTTCTAGAATTTATTTTACTTTTTAATGTTTTTTTTAAAATGACTTACATTTGCGACAGATAAATTCCCATCTATTGAAAGAATCTAATGAATTGAATTGAATCTAATAGCACTTTTCACAGATTCTTATTTTAGCTATCTTATCTTATCTATCAATAATTAGTCTTTATTCCATACATCTCAGTAATCATTTATCCATTATAATCAAATAAAAATACTGTAGCACTGAATAGTAAATCGGACATTTCCGCTTAACATTCCAATTTCTTTATTTAAGAAAATTTTCGACATTTCCACATTTTCAGTAAATTTATTTATGTGAGAGCAAAGAAAAAAATCTTTGAGAATAATTTTTAGAAATATTAAATGAATGTTAAGAATTATATAAAATAACGTTTTACTTAAATTTGAAGAAATTACAACAAACATTGAAGTAAAAAATAGACAGAAAATTGTATTAAAATAATTTATTAATAAGGAAATTATTGTTTATTTATTACTTTTTGTTTTGTTTTTATTTATTTTTTCCGTTTGATATTGTTAATTCATTTCTTTTTTTGTTTTTATTTATTAATAACATTTTATATATTTTCTTTTTAAAATAGATTTGATTGCATTATTAGAGAATCTATAAGATTATATGCTTAAATTTAATTTGAACATTTTATTCTTTACTAAAATGTTTTTTATTTATCAATCTATCAATCCCATTCTTTTAATTTATCAATCTATCAAATCCATCATTGAGATTGTTTATTCGTAGTTAAATTTTAGACTTTCCAATTTTGCCATTTATCAAATTGATGCTATTCATTTCATTCAAAGATGAATTCAAATAAGAGGAAATGTTTCCAAAAGAATTTCACAATAAGCCTTAGCAGAAATGATTTTATTTTTCTTTCACAGAATCAATTCGAAGATTTGTTGGCACGATTTGTTGAATTCAAACAACCAGTTGGTTTGGAAGAACAAGCGGAAAGATTATCACGAGAAATATCGGATATGGAAAATAGTGTTGATGAATTAACGGGTGTACAAGCGGAAAGCTGTAAACAAGCTTTGGATCATACTAATGAAATTACTAGACGGCTTGCTATGGTTTAGTTTTTTTTTTTGCTAAACGATTTGTGAGGATTGAAACTTTACTTTCAGAGTCAAATTTGTATTTAGTTGCAGCAGTCTAGCAATTAAAATTTCAGGCTGTTTAATTATAGATATTAAAGGAATAATTCGTGTTTAGATTGATGTGCTACTTCTGCATGTTCTGTTTAATTATAAATAATTGATAAATTTCGTAGGGACTAATCATTCCTAACTATTATCAGTAATTGCAATTATCATCTATTCCAGCATCTTATTTTACATTTATTAGACTTTGTTTCTTTCTGATTCTGAGGAAATCCTTGTATGGATTTTTTAAAAATATTATGTTTAGGCAAGAACGCATTTGAAAGAATTAACTGAATCCGGAAAAATGTTTACAAAAGAACAGATTTTGACGCCAACTGCTGCACAGATCTTGAACCAGAAAGTTAGCAAATTGGATGAGAAGCTAAAAAATTTAAGCACAAGGGTTTGTTTTAGCGCATGATCTCGATTGCTGTGCTTTAAATTAGATGATTATTTAAATCCCTCTTGTATTTCGATCTCAAATTTAACTGGATTCCCTCATATTTCGGTCTCTTTTATCATTCCACACTACCAAGCAAATCATTTCTCTCAATATTAACAACATTCCTCGTAATCCAGATCGATCAGTAGTTCGAAATAGAGGGATGAAATGTCTATCATTCTTAATTTTGTCTGTTTTTTTCTTTTCATGAAATTTCAGTAAATAATTTTCTTAAAATGCATCAAAATCTTTTCGTTCACTTTTTCAATTAAATTTGAAATTTTTAAAGAATAGTGATATGGCAGAACGCATGCAAAATTGTATAGCATCATTAGATGCTTTAAATAACGATATGAAAAAATTGGATGCAGTATTCGAGAGTGTAGAATCGAGACTGAGTGCTTTTGTCCAATCAGAAAACATAGAAACAGTTGATGCCGATCGATCAACTTTGGAAGAGTTATTGGAAGATCTCAATAAGTAAGCATTCTTTGCATAAAAGAATAATAAATATTTTATGCTGAAATAGTCTAATTTATTCTTTTGAATTCAGTGGTGCGTTATTGTTGTCGAAGGGTGAAAATGTCATGCAACGATTAGCAATGGATTCATTTAAAGTTGATGAAAGTATAATAGAACAGCGAAAACGTCGAGTTGTACGCTTGCAAGGCGATTTGCGATCATGGATTGATGCTATTAAGGTGAATTTTATTATCTTTTCGCAAAATTTGTTCAATTTTTACCAAGTATTGCCAGATCTTTCAATTTTGATCTAATTTGAATATATTTTTTTAATTTTGAAAATTAAATCAGAGTAAGTTAAAATGTCGAAAATTCCATTATTTTTTGTCATTTCAAAGTAAAAATTAATAGCTGGAAGGAGATGAAATGAATCTTTTTTTGATTGTTATGAAATTTCGCCTTCTTTAACCTTCCATATTTCAAAGATTTTGATTTAAATACACTTCTGATATTCATTGCTTCACAATTCGTCTGACAAAGACCAAACCATTTAATGAATAATTTTCAATTTTCAATCCGATCGCTCTACCATTAGTACTGATCAGTATGAATAGAAGAAATTTCTGAAATGTTTAATATTTATGTATGCTTAAATTAACTGAAGTGTAAACAAAGTCTGTACTATCGCTCTTTACCAAACGATAATCTCACAATTTCTTATTATTTTCAGTGTGTTAGTGAGGATACGACGGCACTATTGCAAAAATTCGAAACTTTGTATAATCAATTAAAAGAATCATTGACAGAAATGGAACAAATTGAAAATGTTGATGTTAGCATTTTTTCATTTTGTGCCGCTAATGTTTATTTTCTGCACTTCCGTCCGTCACTCAACTAATTCTTTTTTTCATATTAAGAAAAGTTTGCCGAGCGAAAACTATAATTGCCAGCTTAATTTTCACTTCGTTAACTCTTTTTATATTATGCGTCTGTGTATGTGTGTGTGTGTGGTGTGAAAATCAAAAATCTACAAGTCATTTATGTACATATATTTTTTAGATGTTATTGGCTGAACTAGATAGATGCAGATCAGACAAAAATCTTTTCATCGAACGGTATCGTCGATTGCTGAGATCAGATCCGGAAACGGAAACAAAATTTTCAGTGGCCCTTTCGGAAGTTGGTTTTTCTAGACTGTTTTCTCAAAACATGATATTTTTGTTGTGAATCTGAATGAAATGTCAGGTTAATTTGAAATTTATAAAAATGAAAGATTGTTTATATTTCCCTTCCAATGTATGATTGCTTTGCATTTGTTAGAGAAATGTTTTACACTTATTTTTTAAAGTTATTTATAAATAAATATTCAAACTAATTGAATGTTTAAGTAGTTTTTCATTAGAAAATTAAGTGAATTTATTTGGGAAATATTTATCTTAGATCGAAAAGCGTTGGAATGAGATGGAGAAAAAGTGTCAGAAAACACGGAGCAGTTCACCTTCCCGTCCAGCACTACCGCAACTACGTCATGATACAGTTGGAGAAAGTTTTCGTGATCAAATCAGTTTACTACATTATTTATACAAAACTGCTAATGATTATTTGGATTTTGAGCGCTTTCCGGTTTCTTCCGTTAGTGAATGGTCGAAACGTGTTCAGGTTTGTAAAAATATTGTCAGCAAAATTGATTACTAACAAACAAATAATAATAATACGAGAGGAATCGGAATTTGGACTATTTTTTGATTTTGTTTCCAATCTAATCGAATTTGTCCTTTCTTTCTTTTTTCATATAAACAGTTAACTTATAGTGCAATTATTATTTTAGGATGTTGATGAGTGGCTTGTTGATTACACGGAGAAATTGAAAGGAACGGTCGAAGAGGGCCGTCGTATGGCAAGTAGCGGTCGTATGGAACTTGATGTTCACGATGCCTTAGGTAGTCTGGATGGGGTAGTTAATTTATCAAATCAGGTATTGTTATTGCCTTTGGTCCTTCTTTTTTTTCCTGATCAAAATATGGATTCGAAATTTTGATTCAAGTAAAAAGACTTTTTCAAGACTCTCAAAGCCTTGCTTTTATTGTATCAAAATCAATATTAAAAATTTCTCTAAATTTTCACTACGGGTAAAATATGTTAGTAGTCTATGAAACTTTTGTATTTTTTATTTTGTTTAATTTTGGTAATTAATTTTTAGGTAGAAGGAGCTTTAAAAGAAAACAAAACTAATTTGATTCCTGTACAAGCTAAAGCTGAAACTCTAGAGAGAGACATCAGCGCAATGTGTGATATACTGGACAATCTTTTATCTCGCGATCTATCGGAATCAACAATTGCCAATGTCAGATAATTAATTTATATAAATGTAATGGCAGACTAGAAAATGAAATGTTTCTAATTAAGCTTTTAACACTAAATTTTTTGAATTATAGTTCTTAGAAAATTGAACTCTTAAAGATAGCCCACATACGCAGAATAGAGTAAGTCAATATTATTAGTGAAGTTTAATATTAAGGACAAATTGGAGTTAATTTCAATTTCAAGTATCGGAAACTATTCACAACAGAAATCTATTTGTATGATAATATTCTACCAAATATTATCATACAAATATAGATTTCTGTTGAAGTTAGGAACCTTTGAAGATATCAACAAAAATATTTATTTGTTGAATTTTTGAGTCTGAATAGTGATGTTCCTAATCATTCACAAAGTGCATCTATATTTTCACGTTAAACTTTTTTTTGGGAACATAGAACTATTTCAAAGTCTTAAGAGCATACATAATACAGCGTTATCGAGTTGTTTTGTTTAGACGGATTCATTTCTGGCGACTCATCCTGATACATGATCGTTGCGGTTAAAGACTACCGTAATTAAAACAGGAGAGAATACTTTCAAAATAGTGACTGTACTGAAATGGATCAACATTATTTGCAATCGATCGGCATTTTATATCAATCTTCTATCTCCGATAATATAAATTTCCTTCTTTAACTTAAATTTAAAATAAAAATTTTTGAATTTCTAGGCTACTCAACGTGATTTACTAGATCGACAAACTCAACTGAATTATATGCAGCGAAGAAGTGATGATCTTCACAGTTGTCTGCCTGGAACATCAATAAATCAACCTAATACAACAATGGATCAAATTCATGACAAAATTCGTGATTTGGAAGAGAAAATAGATGCAGCAATCAAGAAAAGCAGAGAGAATCTAATCGTGCAAACAGATAAATCATCCGAAATAATACAATTGGAGGAGCAAAAGGAATCGGATGTTATCTCCACTACAAGTACCTCACTTACGCTTGAAGTGCAGGTAATATTCATATATTTCTATCTTATATATTACGTATAAAAGCATTAGTCTTTTCAGTGAACTATATATTTCAAATTATCTTTAATGACTATTAAAAAATTTTCGCATTTATTAATTAACCAAAAAATTTCAGATATTTTTCTTTTCAGTTTTTTTCTGGAGAGAAAAAAAATATAAACCATATTTCCGATATGTTCATGCTAATTCATTAGCTAATATTATAGGAGGCTGAAGATGACCAATCGCATTCGGAATCGAAGAAAGAATCAAATAATTCTGAACCTTTGGTAATGGCAATGAAAATTAACGTAACGGAAGCATCTGAATCACTTACGTCTTTATACATCGAAATGGATGAAATTGAGAAGGAGTTAAATCGAAGTGACCCATTGCCTTTCAAAGATTTATATCAAAAGAAGCAAAAACTAGAGGTCAGTAACATAAGGAAACATTCTGGTCATTAAGAAACATTATCCCATCCTTCATTCCACTATAACATATTGTAGAACATTCCAACACTATACATACATACGTATGACAATAATCATTTTGAATCACTGACCACTTATATCTTATTGTTCATGACTCATTATTCTTTATACAATTTATTATAATCGCCATCTAAAATTCCTTTGCTTTTCCCAATCTTTTTCTTCTACATTTATCAATATAACTGGTAATTGTATGATAAATATGAGTAACGTTTTACTGTGTGCCGACATATGTCGTAATTATTTTGAGTTTCAAAAGCTAATAGTAGTACTTTCTATTGATGTGCCATACTCTCTGCTCTTTCCTTTCTATCTTTTCTTTCAGATAAAATTTTGATGTATTTAAGCTGATTATTTAACATTATTTATTCAACAATTTCATAAGAACAAAAGCTTGCTGAACAAACAACGCATTATTCTTAGGGTTGGCAAATTTTTATGATAAGATAGCCAAGAAAATTACAAATCACTTAACAAACACTTTATTAGTGATAGACACTATCAATAATTTTATCAGTACTGAACGCTTTCTGCTTATTTTCAGAAAATTATGTTTATTTAAACGAATCCTATCTAAATACAAAACTAATTAAAGTGGCGATGTTTAGTCAGTTGTCCATTCTGTTTAAACTTTTAACTAATTATACATAAAATATATTTGTCGGCTTAACTATAAAATTTTTCTTAAATTTTAATCCTATCAATTCTTTGGGTGAAATTTATGCGATTGAATCATTCATTGAAAAATAATTGTGAAATTTATTTCGTTCATTTTTTTCTTCACTTAAATGATTGTTTCAATGTCAAGAAAAAGAACACAATTATCCGACTTTTAGTCATTCAAAAAAACGATCGATGTGATCGTATTACTTTTTAAGGATTAACTTCATTTAACTTTATTTTTTAATTGAAATTTTGAAAGTATTCAATAAATAATGAATGATTGATCAAAAATTTCCTTTTTCCTGAAGGAGAACTTTTTCATTCAATTTTATTACATTTCAATAAGGAGATTTATTTTTGTTGAAGTTGAAAAAATGAGAAATGGCTGGTTGGAATGGATATGTGAATATGAGGCAGCCTTTTCGAATTAAACGTTGAAATTTTTGTTTCATTTTGTTTGTGAAGGTACATTATGAGAGAAAAGCATCGTTGATTGGTTGGCATCTGTACTAGACCAGCAGAGCTATTCTTTAGTAATTAATTAATCCATTCAAATCGTTATAATTCATTTCTTTATTACTTTTAGTATTTTTTGTTTGTTTGTTTTGTTTCATATTAATTAATCATTTTTGAAATTAGATTATTTCGAGTTCCTTACCGTTATTATCTATGTTAATTCAAACCATAATAATAAGTTAAATGATTGTTAGTGATTGAATGATAAAGGAAAAATGGTCATGATAAAATCAAAATTAACGAAATTAGAGAGAGTTTTAATTTAAAGAATTTGCTGAGCAATTTAATGAGAATAGTTTAAGATTTCAAAAATTCAAATTTTGAGAAAATTTAAAATTTAAAAAATTCACATACCAACAATAGCATTTTTTGATATTTTTACTTCTTCATTTTCAGCTCTTCTCTAATTTGATATCATTTTTTCTACACCAATCTTTATTTCATCAAAAATAATCTAAAATGTGTGAAGCTTCCTTTTCTTACCCTTGTCCTTGGACTTCTCCTTTCCAATGTTACCATTTTAAATTCGGCAACATCGAAATTGTTCTCAACACTTTGTAGGCTGGTGAGCATCTTTGATCTGACTTTCTTATTAATATATTCTTTTTCGAAACTTCAGACTTTCGTCTAACTGTAACCTTGCCAAATTATTCACTCATTTATTCTACTTTTAGGAAATGAATGAAAGTTTCAAAAAGGTTGAGCGCGCAATTGGCAATTTACAGATGACAATGGATTTAATGGAAAATGAAGCGGTACTTGAGCGACTTAGAACTCTTCAAAATTGGAAGGATCGTCGATCGAAGTAATCATTCTTCCCAACACTTACATATATTCAATTAATATAGAAACAAAATTTTTTGAAAATTCTAATTTTGACTTCGATCCATATTACATCTTCATCTTAAATATTAAACTTAACTTAATTTCGGAAAGATCATAAAGTGCTGACTGAATGTTAGTGGACAAATGTGGAAAGTCTTACTTATGAAATGTTAGCATCTGTTACTTAATTTAGCTTGATTTTAACAACTTTAAAAATTAAAAATGATTTACGTGAAATATATTACTGTGAAAAAAGGAGAGAACTTGAAGTAATTAATTCACTTGAAAATAACAAAGTCATTCATATTCCAATTATTTCCTATACTTTAGTGATCCCAATGAAGTTTTTACATTTCTTGTTAGCTTAACTCTAGCAGTCTTATCTTAAATATCCATAAAGTTTTTTTTAGTGAAATAAATGAACTGATAAAAGCTGAAAATAGCTTCGAGGAGAGCATGGAAACCAGTCAAAAGCTGTTGGATGAAATTGATAAAGCACTAGCTGAAATAGATAACCGGAAGAAGTCACCGGAATTGGAAGAACTAGAACATTTCGCGTTATCTTTAGAAGATCGTTTACAGCGAGCTTTGGCACAAATACAACATACCTCACTAAAGGTTACACTTTTCGGTTAGATGTAAAAACAGGGATAAGTAGAAAATTAATTCTTTTTCCGGATAAATACCGTATCCTTACATTTATTTCATTCTTAGCAGATTATTGGTAGAAATTACCGCCACGCTCATATCGTAATGAAAATGAAAATTTGATTAATAAATTTAGGAATTTTGATGTGTCTGAGATGATCCAGAAATTTGTAAACGAATAATTATTTCATTCTATGCTAATTACATATAGTAAAACGATATGTACGGTTGAAATATATCTGCAAGAGATAAAAATGAAAGGTCAAATTAAATTTCATCCATTCTTTAGAAAACAGTGACCAATTATGTGGAGAGAGGGTTATTTATGTACTTCATAAAAATTTGTTATTAGTTTGATGTTTCAATTTTGAAAATAATTTGAAATATGATGCCTTAATTTTAACAAACATATAAATTATTCAGGCAGAACCAATACTAACACAAATAGATGAGGAAGAAGCCGCTCGACTTCGTGACAGATTACGAAATATTGGTGAGCAGTGGAAACAATATGAAAATCTTGTTCGAGAAAAGAGACGCCGATTCGATGAACGCTTTGCAAATGAATCGGAATTGAATAACGAAATGGAATTACTCCAATTTTGGTATGTAATTTTATATGATAAATTAAATGTGAAGAATGTATACAAATGTTTGTTGTAAAATTTCGACTTTATATGTTAAGAATTTAGATTTCATGAATGTTTAATTAATAATTTCAAAAATCGATAAGTTAAAGAGAGAAATGCTATTTGTTAAGCTATCATTCCTTTAGTGATTTTTATTCAAAGAACTAATTAATGTTTTCAATAAAATAATTAAACATTTGATGAGATAAATTTTATCATTTAATAGAGTATCTTCTCTTTGTAAAGCTATTATAGTAAGCTTATCAATCATAAATTAGCTCTTTTTGACTTTGTTTTTGATCTTACTGTTAAATTGAACGATTTCAAAATGATAAAAAGAGAAATATTAGAAAGATTTAAATTCAATTCCTTTTCCTTTAAATAGTTCCGTTTTAATTTTTTTTCATATTTTAAAAAGATCTTCAAATTATCAAATCATTCCTAACTAATGAATGAATATTTGAAGGTGTGATGAAACGGAAGCGGAATGTGCCATCGTTATTAGTCCATTGAATTTGCCTGTTTTAAAGGAACTCTCATCAAAATTAGAGGTTCCTGTTGTAAAATTTCCTTTTTCATTGACACTTTGCTCTATCTTAAAATCATACTTCTCAAATTTCTCGCAAGGAACATCTTATCACGGTATCACTGATTAAAATAATTTTACATTTAATCTGTTTTTTAGTTAAGCTATCTATAAAAAAAATAAAACTACAAAAGCTAATAGCTAATATCATCAATCAAAATTTTTTTGTTTTCTTTCTCTACAAATTAGTTTCAGGAACGTTTAAACAGCTACGAAAGGAAACATGCAAATTTACAAATCATTGAACGTTTAAAAGATTATTTAATTAGCACCCAAATGACGGATCCAACCAGTAAACATCGAATACGACGAGCCGTTTCCGAAATCGGAAAACGTATTAGCTCGGTAGATTATTTTCCGATAATCACCTTCTAACTTTTCAGAAAAATAATTTTATAGCAAAAATATTACTTTCCCAAGAAAGTTTCGTTAACATAACTATTTTATTAATTTAGTTGGTATTTAGAATTTTTCATGCACAGCAATTTTCCTACTTTTCCAAGTCCTTTCTTTATGCTGCAAATTATCTCTAAAATAATTTGCAAAGGAAATTAACAAATCTGACCATTCATTGTTCAGAAAACTTTATTTAGACTCTTTTTTACTTCAAATCCATTATGATACTCTTTAAGATTTCCTACATATTTTCGGTTTTTCCTTCTTCAAATTTACTGAATAAAAATTTCTCATAGCAAAGATTCTAATGTACTAAAATGTTGCAGAAATGTGAAGATTCTTTTAAATTTATTTTGAACTTCTATTACCTTTATTTTGTTTTGTTTTAGTGAGATAAGAAGTAAATATGCTTTTAGATTCGGGGTCTTTTGCGTGATCGAAAATTAGAACTTGAAAGTGCCGTTAATGCTGCTGAAAATTTCCACGATGATTTGAATAAATTGCAGAAATTTTGTGAACGAACAGAAAAAGCAATTCAATTGTAAGTTCATTGCTTTTTTCCCATTTTCATTTTGAAAATGTTATGATTAGTTGAGAGAAAATAATCATTTTTTCTTGTTTATTCTCCATTAACCATCTTTGTCCATTTTATTGTTTATTCTCCATTAACCATCTTTTTCCATCTTATTGCTTATTGTTCATTGACCATCTTTGTCCATTTTATTGTTTGTTGTACATTAACCATCTTCGTCTATCTTATTGTTTATTGTCCATCTTTATTTATTTTTACTTTACGAATATATTACTGATTTTTTAAAAAAAAGTCTACAAAGAATACGAATATATTACTGCGTTTTTTTTGATAGGCAATTATAGCAATCATCTTTTTTACCGTTAGTTAACCTATTCTGTTGAAAAAAACTGAAAATATATCGTTAATAGTACTTAAAGTTGACTGATCAAATCACTTCATTTATTATATTTTAATTTAATTTTTTTGTAATTGATATTTATCAACTAATTAAACTTACATTTCCATTAAAGTGAAAGATTAAAAAGATTGTTTTATACATTGTTAGGTAATTAAATTCATTTTTGTTGTATGAAATATTTTAGGGTAGAAAGTGCGACAATTTTTGTACCGTCCGGTACCGATTTGGATTACGTTCGTTTGCATCAGGCAGAAACTGATGAAATTGCTAAGAGAGTGGAACAGGAGTGGAAAGATAGCTCTTCCGTAGGAGGATCAGTAGTTGATGATCATCTCCGAATTGTTTGTTTTGTCATTGTTTATGGAAATTTGATAATTTTTTTAATGACAATAAATGCGAATAATTCAATTTTAATATTAAATGGTTCATAATGTCTAAGTATAGATATTCCATATCTCTAATCTATTAAGAATTGATAAGGAAAGAAAAGTAATATGATTTTATAGAGAGTAGAAAAGCAGTTATGACTTCTTTGATAATTTTCCGGTAAAAAAAAACTTGTCTCGGTAACACTTTAAGCACTGTAATACAGCATATGTTTAATGATTTTAAGAAGGTATCAATGATATCAGTCATTGAACTATTTATATAATCTTGAAAAGTAACCATTAAAATCACCCGTCACAAATGAAATTTTTCTTACTGCGCTTTATAATAAAATCCTTGGCGATGGAAGATTTGTTATAGTAATGAATTTGCAAACTTCGAAATATTTTAATTTTTAATTTAGAATGAAGTGGTGAGTGAATATCTGAGGGATTTTATTATTTATTTACCTCTTCAATATTCATTCTTCTCAGAAAATCGTTCTGTAATGGCTCGTAAATTTTAATATTATACTTTACGATAAATAATTCATTTATGAGAGGATAAGGTATTAAAAAAAATGGAACAATTTCTTTTTTGATTTATAGATATGAGCAAATTCATAGCGGCTAGAAATATAAGTTGAAGTTTTGCGCAATTTTTCGAAATATTTAATGAAAAATTTTTGCAGATCGTGGAAGATACCTTATGTAAATGGAGCAACGATAAGGAAAAATTAGCTGCGACAGCTTGTTTACCAACTCTTGCACATGACTCATCATCAATAACTTCAGGCATGCTTGCGCATTTCATTTCATTTAAACAGAATTCAAACATTTCACTTATGATTTCATGGAATGTAATCGGATGTGCAAATAAGACTGATAATGCTTGTGAATGAAACGGAAAAGAACATAAGAAATTTTGTCTTTTAATTTTAATAATTTAAGAAAAATTTTAGGTTAGCAATTATTCTTATCATAATTTTAAGTGACAATTTATTGAACAAATGAAGTTATTTTAGAAGCGATTGAAGAAGAAGAACTGACCAGTGGAATGCAAACCGTTTTATCAAGTATTGCTGAAGAAAAAGAATCTCATACAAGTGAGTATGGAACTTTAAATGGATCTATGGCACTTGAGGAATCGGTTACATCAAATCTGTCTTCCAAAGATCGACTTCTAATGGACAATATCGTACATATAGGACATTGGTTAATGGAAACAGAACGTGACGCATCGTTGACCGTCGATTTAGCCGATTCAGAATGCATAAGAAATGCAATCGTTCAAATGCAGGTTTGTTTTTTGTTTCTTTTCACAATTAGTCCAAATTTACTGATAATTTTAAGATAATAATTTTTACTGATAATTTTTTGATAATAGTTTTAATTTATTGATAATTTTATTGATAATTTTATTTTAATTTACTGATAATTTCTGATAATTTTAATGAATCGTTTGTTCATTTTACAATTTTTATGGATAAAATATCTAATTAATATTTACTTGGCCAAGAAAGAAGCTACAGAATTCTATAAAATATTATTTCTATTGAACAAATAATATGAAGGAAGCTTAGTATGAGTAATGTTAATATATTACTTCTTGCTTGTTGTAATAACTTCTAGAAATTAACGTTGCGATTTAGGACTTCATTGAAATTGATATTTTCATTAAAAAAAATTGAAATGAGTTGAAAAAAAAAATATCAAAGCAACTTTGATAATTGCTCCAGAATTTCCTTTTCAGACTTTTATTGATCAATTAAAAATGCGTCATTTGGATTTGATTCGAATTTTGGATGAAAGCCGGAATAAAATAGTACGAGAAAGGAGTGAAGTAATGACAGTGGAATGTAATAAAATATTGGGTGAATGTCAAGGGAGAAAAATGACATTAACTAAAATTTTGGAAGAAAGTCGAATTTGGGATAAATTAAGAAAAGCATTAACCACTTGGCTTACTAATGCTCAAGAAAAGTTTGCTTTTTTCCATCGGAAATATTTAAAAAATTCGTTAAAAATTTTAATCACAAAATTTCAACTTCACGCCATTCTCTCACTATATCTTTAATACTTTCCAGTTCATCTTTTTTTTTTTTAAATTTTTGTTGTTTTAATAATGAAATAAGTGAAATGAAAATGTTCAGAGTAATTGATGGCAGTACGGTCGATGCCGCCGATGTACAAACACTAAAAAAAGAGCTCAGTGAGATTCATGGGATAGCGGAAACAGCGGGAGAAATGAAATTAAAGATGGATGAGTTAAATGAGCGTAGTAACGCTTTGTTGGATAATTACCGCGCTGATGAAGGGCATAATTTGTCTCATACGGTTTCAAAATTGAATGCTTTATGGAGTAAATTTAATGATAAGTAGGCATTTACTGTCATTATTTTCAACTTTTAACTTTTACCCTTTGACTCCTATTTGCATCTAATTATTTTTAACACTTTGGTTTGAAACTATCAAACTGAGGTAAATGAAATGATTTGGTTCGATTCTTCTACTTATTACGAAAATCGAACATGAGTACTTTATCCTCAATTATACTATTTATTTCAAAATATATCATTTCTTGAAATTTAAAAAAAATAGATGTTCGTTTTTAATCTTTGCTGGATCTTCTTTTTTGTAAAGTTTTTAAAAGGTTTATTTTTAATTTTACTAAATTTTGAATGATTGATTCTTGAAATTTCCGGAACTTAAAAGGATAACTGGAATCATAATGAAATAATGAAAGATTAATATGGTGATTCAGGAAGTTAAACAGAGTAAAAAAAATGAAAAGATGAAGGTAAATTTATTGCAGTGTTCGTATTCGGCGAGCGGTATTAGAGGCAGCTCTTAGAACTAGAAGTGACTTCCATTCTGCGCTTGAGCAACTGGAAGAATGGATGAATGGTGTTGATGTATCTCTGGTAGAGTTGAATGAAATAACAATGAATACACAGACGCTTAAAGATTTTGTTAAAAGAAAGAAATGGATTGAAGATGAAAAGGTGAAAGTTCATATTGCTTGTAGAAAAGTGTTAGTTAAATTAAATGTGATTTTCTTGATTTGTAGGCACAATTTTAAGGAAGATGAGAAATGTGAATTCAAAGAAGATAGTAAATAAGTTAAGGCTTTCCCAATATGTAAAGGTTATATAATAAAAAAAATGATTTCTTTTTTGTTGCAAAATAAAAATTTTATCAAATTTAAGATACGAAGCGAAGTAGCTTTATTTAAAGAACATTAGAAGATATTTGTTGAATAAATTTAAATATAAATTAGGATAAATTTTAAGTATTAGTAATGTATTAATAAAATTATAGAGTGTGCGAGCTGATATCAATGCTCATAAAGATGTTATCGGATCAGTGGAAGAGATGGGCGCTCAGTTAACACGTCGAGTGGAAGACACTAAAGAACGAGAACAACTCAAAGAGCGCTTAAGTCATATTGATATTCGATGGCGACATCTGGTTGGATTAGCTGATGCTATCAGGTAATTTTTTTTGCAATTTTTATTTCATATAATCTATAGAAACATCGTAGTGATATGGCGAAATCATTGTCTCTTTTTCATAACAGTGTATATCTATATAAGGTGAACTATTTAATCCTTAAAATATTAATAGAGCAGAGAAAGTATCTTTAATAGGAATCGAGAATAGTTACATCCATTAATTCATTCCTCATTTCCATTCCTGTTCGGTCATTCATTTCAGGACTCGTCTAATGAATGCTCAAGAAGAGTGGGAGAAGTTGTTCACACAAATCGCCGAAAATTTATTTTGGGCTGAAGCACAAAGTAAAGCATTACTTGAAGAACAACCAGTCGGTGGTTCGTTGGCTCGAGTACAGGAACAGACTAATTTTATTCAGGTATTGTTTCATTCATCCATTCTTTTTTCATCTTTATAAGAAACATTTTCAGTCTCATTTTTAAACCATTTTTTATTTTCATTTTTTAATAGAGGAAGAGATTTTTTTAGAAACTTGAACATGAAATGAAGCTTCGTCAACGTGATGTTGACGAATGTGTAACACTGGCGCATAGTTACCTGATGCAGCATGACCTGCGACCTCGAATGAAAAGTACCAGCACTTTGACACCAGATGAAAAAAATGGCTAGCAATTTTTTTCGTTTGCAGAATTAATTTTGATAGCACTGCGATAGCTTCTTCTAATACCATATTTCGTTTTTTTGCCGATATCATTTTTTGAAAATTCTATCGAATGCATAATTCATATGATCAATTTCGTTATCCGCAACCCTGAAATTACTTATAAAAAGCGCTATTTACAATCTTCCGTAATTTTAAAGAGAAAATGTGTCAGAGATAATTGCAAATATCTAAGAGTTCCATTAGATGGGTAGTCATTGCTTCACAGTTGATTATTTATAAAATTCCAAAAAAAGTCGAAAAACTTATATCTGTCTGATGACTCATGCATTCTTCTACTTGATTGGACATTTAATTTAGAAAAATGAAAATATTCATTTAACTCGAAATACTAACAAATTGTGCGAATGAATTATTTCGAAATGACTAATATTGTATTCATTTAAATAATACTCTTATTTTTGATTAAAATATTTTACCATTTTAGATGATCAGAATGCGGAACTAAGACGTGTTGGTATTCAAATTAAATCTGATAGCGATCGTTTAGTGGAGAAATGGAGTGAATTACGGGAGCTACTGAATGCCTGGGCATGTATCATTCGTGATGCAAATGCTAAGATGGAGAAATTAGCGTCAGCGATTGCTGAATGCCAGCTGGCACTTTCAAATATGGATGAACGAATGGAACAGCTTCGACCCATCGAAAAGTTAAGGTTGGAAGAGTTAACGATAGCGGTTGATGAAAGTGAACAATTGAAAGAATATTTGTCTCGAACACGAATGTATATTGATGATGCTAATGATTGGAGTGGACAGCTATTGGCGTCAGATGTCGAATTGGCATCGGAGCTAAGTGCACAATTGAGGTCAATCAATGATAGGTATGCTATTTGTATTCTAAATTAAAAGTGATGATGATGATGATGCATCACCATCACCATAAAAATCACTGATTGTCTTATGTCGCCTTTGCATAACATCGCAGTTGTGTTGGAATTTTCCCAGTTATTAATGACTGCTACTATAATTATATCGATGCTTTACAGAAATAATTATCCTCATGTCAACAAAATCTTTTTTATTATCTTTTTATTATCTTTGGTAAAGAAAACATTTTAAAAATTTAGGTAGTAATAACTAACAGATAAATAATTATCCAGAAAAAAGTCAAAAATATTTTGTAGGCTAATTTAATTACGGAAATAATTTTGCAGAAAGTGTTATAGGAGAAATGTTGCCAGTTGTCTATGATTTGAGCTATACTTTTATTTTGTAAATGGAAAAAATTGCTGATAGCAGATAATTTTTCATGCATTAACATTGTTTAAGTAAATGTATAATCCATGAAAAGAATCAATTTCAAATAATTGAATTAAAAATTTTCTTTAATTAAAGAAAAGATATTTTTTATTTTACGCAACGAATTTTTATTTTAATTAATACTGAAGGTGACACTTATTAGAAAGAAAAATGCTTTCTGTCGTTCACTTCGTTTTATTTTGAACAAGAATATGAAAGTGTGCTAATTTTATCTCATTTTTATCGATCAGTTTTTCTCTTAGAGATCTGCCCGGTAAATCGCATTATGCAAATTAAAAAAAGTTCATGTGGAACCATTTTTTCACAAAGGACTCAAGCTATCTTTGTGTTATTGAATTTTCTTTTAATCTGTGAAGTTTGATAAACGGAAATGATCTCCGATAATGATATACACATTTTTCAATGAAATGAGATTATGTTCGAATCAATTTAATATATAATTTTTTAAGGTATGTACTTTAAGAGGCCAATTCATCGTATTGTCAGGAATTTAAATTTGTGAAAGAGGTAAAGAGGAAATAGTAATAGAATAAGGTTGAAATGAAATTTTAATTCCTCTATAGTTATAGTTAGTTATCCATTCATTTTTTTCATAAAATTAGTTCGTTGAAATTCGTTCACTCTTATACATAAATTGTTGCCTTTAGAATAATTTAATTCATTGAAGGATAAAACTTTTATTGATATGGTCCTCTTTTGTTTGCCGCGTTTGTAATGGAATTAAATATAATTGCAGAAAATTTTTTAGAAATAATTTTTCAGTTTATTGGGAATTTTTTTGAAGCCAAGAGATTTAATGAGTTTTTATCACTAATGAACTCTAAAGAATAACATATCATTTGATAATGTAGTTTCGCTGGATTCTTTTTTAAGGCTTAATTTTTGAATTAAATCAGTGATTAAAGATTGATATAGTTCTAGATCTACATCTATTTTAGTGCTTCGTTAAATCTTGTTGAAATTTTATTAGAATTTTGTCAAGCTTTATCAAAATCTTGTCAAATCTTGCCGGAACCTTATCAAAATTTGTCAAAACTTTGTCAAATATTGTCAAAACATTAATATTGCTTGTTAAATCTTTCATCCGAACATGGTTTGTATTATGAATATCCTAATGTTAGATCATTTTTCAGCTTTTTCATTTTCATCGCAAAGCATAAATTTTTTTTAACTTATTTGTTTATTTTTTTAAAGCAATGCTATTATTTTTATTTTAGGATGACGAAGTTAAAATTAGATTTGCAAATTCGTGCAGCAGCTCTGGAACGTGCTATGACCGATTTTGGTCCATCAAGTCAACATTTTTTAAGAGATAGTGTCCAGGCACCTTGGCAACGGGCTGTTTCGGCTTCTAATCATTTACCGTATTATATTAAGTAAATCATTAATTTTCTTTAATCAAAATTTTTTTAAAGCATAATAGTTTGCTGCTATCAGGTTAGATTAAAATTTCATAAATTATTACTCATTAAGCAGTTGAGTCTAAATGATTGTTGTAAATTGTAGTCATGGAACAGAAGTAACTCAATGGGATCATCCAGCAATGGTTGAAATTATGGAAGAGCTAACAACTTTTAATCAGGTCAAATTTAGTGCTTACCGTACAGCAATGAAATTACGAGCAATCCAGAAACGCCTGTGTTGTAAGTTTGCTAAACATTATTACTGCAAATTAAATCTCACGCCAACATGTGCTTGTATGCCTCTGCGATAAACGTCAGCTTAATTACTGCATTAAACTCGAAAGATATACTATGTTTCTTAAATGACCACCTTTTCATGCCTCAAAATTATTCGTTTTAGTGGATTTGATAACTCTGGAAGATGTAGATTCGAAATTACAAACGCTCAATTCAATGTTAGGTGAACAATGCTTATCGATGAAAGATGCGGTAATATGTTTGGTTCCGCTATTTGAGGCGGTACAAGAAAAGTATCCCAATTTGATACATTCTATACCATTAGCTGTTGACTTGTTGCTCAATTTTGTCTTGAATGTATTCGATCCGTAAGTTTTCGTTTTCTGATTTCAATATTTTTTTAATCCAATGAAAAATTAAAATATATGTCTATTCATCGATATCCAAGAATTGCCTCTGTTATCCTTCTTCTTGTCTCTCAGCTAAATCATATGCGTGATTGCGCAGTGATCTAATTTTTCCACTTGGTAGGAAGTATCATTCATGATCAAAAGAATTTTAGAAATTTGATTCATTTTTAAAGTGAACTTTTGCGATTGAAATGAAAGTGAAACATTTTCGTAAACAAGAGTTTTTTTTAGACGAATGAAACCTAGAAATTTAAACGTCTTTTTTTGAAACGAGAAAGTAGTATAAAAGCCCATGGGGTCACTCTTACTGGTTGATGACCTCAGCAGTTAACTTATCTTCATTATTCCTTAGTTGTCTGCTGTACTTACAGTATCACAAATAATTACTTTATTTTGAAGAACTATAAATTCTACAAGAAAACTAGCTCCTATTTTTGTTTGTCCCATTTCTAATCAAAAGTTATGATCTTAGAGTTGGATCAGTTAACATGACTTTCTCCGGAAACTTATATACATGACTAAATCTAGCAATTCATCTTCACCCGGAATCTAGTTCCGAATACTTCCTTAGTGATATTATTTTCAATTTGAAAACGGTAATAATTAAAATCCATTCAAATTGCACTGAATTTTTCAGAGCGCGTGATTGTATTCTACGCACATTTTCGTTTCGTGTACTACTGGTTACACTGTGCAATTCAAATCTGGAAGATAAATATAGATGTAAATCTTTTATTCTCCTAATTCAAACATTAACCTTTCAGCAATATGTCTTATCTTAGTACCAAATCTCACGTGATTTCATCCATTTTTAATGATTAATAAATGTTTGATAAAAACTTCTCATTTTAAAGCTTTCTCTCAGATGATTTCAACAGGTAAACATTTCAGACTTATACCAACTTATTGCGAACAACGAAGGTGTTGATCACAAGAAATTAGCCCTTCTCTTATACGATATTATTCACGTAACTTTTAACCTTTTCAGTTTTTATCAAAAATTTATGCATTAAATAACGCTTGGAAAATGTATGTGTTTGTTTACCAGTATATTGTTCTGAAGAGTAGAAGAATCTCCTTTTGTTCCAATAACTGAGTTAACACAAGATATATCGAAATTTCAATAATTATTTATGAGTAATATAGAGGTTGAAGTTGCGAAAAAATGTTGCTGGAAAAGATGTTGCATTAGATATTATTAAATTATCCATATGAAGAGCTTTTCTCGAAGATTGCGAAGAGCTTTTTTTTAAAAATCTAACTTAATATATTTTTCAGATCCCACGATTTTTCGGCGAAGCAGCAGCATTTGGTGGTTCAAATGTGGAACCGTCAGTGCGGTCATGCTTCGAAACGGCGAAATATCCGCGGTCGATTTCAATTGATGAATTTTTGAATTGGTTAAAAAAAGAACCACAAAGTATTGTTTGGTTACCTGTCATGCATCGGCTAGCTAGTGCCGAATTTGCTAAACATCAGGTAATGTTTGCATTAAAAAAGCAAATAAAAAGTAAAATCTAAAGTTTTATTTTATTTTCGCTTTCTAAATTATCTGATTTGGAAAAATTTAATTGACAAAAAAAGTAAAGAATCCAGCAGAATATTCTTTTAAATCGAAAACTTCAAATTTTTCTTATACTCCTTGTAATGCTTTTTTTCTGCAGCAGTAATTTATAATTTTAATTTTGAAATTTATCAATCATTTACGACTATATCACAATGAATTAATTACCTTGGTATAAGTTTGATTTAATTAGTTAGTAATTATATTGGCAGTCCTTTTTGTTTGTTTATTTCATAAAGTTATTTAATAATGATTGATGTTTATTTCAAAATTTTTTCTAGGCGAAATGTAATGTTTGCAAAATGTTTCCAATTATTGGATTGCGTTATCGTTGTTTACGATGCTTCAATGTTGACGTCTGTCAGAACTGTTTCTTTAGCCAAAGGCTTGCTAAAAATCACAAATTATCACATCCTATACAGGAATACTGCTTACCGGTAAGTTTATTATCATTCCAATTAATATCTAAAACAATTTATTTTCCTAACCGTATCTCTCTGTCTCTCGTCTGCCCTGATATTTTCCACCCATATTTAGTTGTTTTTTTTTATTTTTTATATTAAACGTAAACTGCTTAAAACTCTTTTTTTTTAAAAATTAAAACATGGTTTTAGACAACATCAGGTGAAGATGTGCGCGATTTTGGTCTAATAGTGAGAAATAAATTACGATCGAAAAGTAAGACACGGATTGGTTATCTACCGGTGCAGACTGTAGATGAGGGGCCTCCATTGGAAAGCACTAATGTTGCTCCGGTTAATCCATTCACTGAACCTATCCACAATCGAGTACAACTCTGTGCTCGAAGGTCCATTATAGTTTGATTTACTTATGCTAAATTAGACAAGTCTAAGTTTTCCTTGTAACTTTTAAGCTTTTCAAATTCGTCAAAGAAGTTTCCTAAATTTAAAAGTTGGTTTTTTCTTGATATTAACACATACCATCATTTCTTCAATGAAGATATGCTCAACGACTTGCTCACTTTTTTTATGATAGAAGTTAAAGTTTTGATAATCATTTCAGATTATGGAGAGCACGAGGTGAAGATGATACACCGATACCTGCTTTAAATGATGCGGGAGAGGAAATGAGAGTGAGCAGAACAGACTTGAAGTCACCTTTACAACTTTTGTCCCAGGTTGAACAAATGCATAAAGAAGAGCTGGATCAAGTACTGCACAAATTACAACATGAAAATAGGTGAATTATAATTAGATTTCCCTGATAATGACAAAAACACTATAGCGAACCATTCTAGAACGCATATATAAATTTAGAGAATTGAAAAAAGAAATTCAAAGACGGAGGAAGCTTAGTAATGCTGTGGGATCAACGCCTAATCTGACAAGAGGCGATAGCGCAGCAATGTCACGAAGTGTTACTGATAATATGGAAACCGGACGATCTGTTCCCTCACTTTCTAATGCAGCCGATGATCAACTATTAAGAGAGGTTCCCTCAATTCTGCAATTTTTCTGTTCTATCTATTGCTTTCTTTCATAAATCTTGCTACTTTCATAAATGTTGCTACTTTTTGGATCCATTATCACTGACAAAGCTTATTTACTCTTATTTAGGCATACCTATTGCGGCAACATAAAGAACGACTGGAACAACGAAGTCGAATATTGGAAGAACAGAATCGTCAACTTGAAACACAGCTTGCAAGGTTACGAACGGTCATTGCTCAAGTGAATTATTTACCCAATTTTTGTGTTGTATGGAAGTTAAGATGCTTATTTTAAAATAAGTTTAACGCAGTGCTATCTTGTTTGAACAATCTTAGCATTTGAGTAAGCATGAATATTCATTTTCAAATTATCCATAAGGTAAGGGATAATTTAACTATTACAGAATTGTTTGTGAACTCAATTTAAGATCAAAAGACCAGAAGAAAGCCAATATTCTTTAACCATTTTACTTCTACCATTTATTCTTTTTCTTTACTTCAATTTGAATATTGACAGGACTGAATAATTTTAGCAGAATTATTAAAAAAATTTGCAGCAACAAAATGTTAGAAGCGAAAATAAGGAAAATGGCGGCGCAGAAGAGATTGAATCAAGTGTGACTTCGGCTGAAGAAGATGAAGGAATCGAATATGATAAAAGGCCAAATCGAATGAATTCTCTTATTGCTTCAGTGGATCAGTTGGGTCGTGCTATGCAATCATTTGTTGTTTCGGTTGTTAACGATGATGATGGAACTAACGAGGATGAAGATGAATTGGCTATTACTAGAATTCATTAAACTCATTTTTAATAGCAATTATATATGTTATTGATTTTCCTTGAAATTCAAGGCTTGTCAGAATAGATGAAAGAATTTGAATCTAATTGAAAGGTAATTTCGAAATTCATTGTTCATTTGTTTTTATTGTTTACTATGAAACCCAATATTCGAGGGAATTATTCGAAATATTTCTAAATCTACTTATTGTTATATATAATATATTGTTTCATCATCTTTTATTGTTATGATTTTAATGCGTTAAACTACCAGTGTTATAAATGATTCATTGCAGATATAATTCGGTGATATATTGCAATATATAGGTTATTGATTGATTCCTAGAATCAGTAGAAAGTTATATTGAACGTAACATAATGATAAATGCATAAATTTTTTTGTATAAAATTATATGAAATTAACGTTCCGGGAAAAGGAGTAGGAGAATATTATTAATGAAATGTCATCCTTACTTTCTTATATCAACACTATCGAAGATGTGGCTCTGAATATGGATATTTTTTTGTGATGAAAATAACAAGTGAACACTATATTCGTTGCATGCAATAGTACATGATATAAGATATCGTGTGTGATTTATTAGAGTTAGTGAAGATGACCTTGTGGCATAGAGAGGCCGTATAATTTATATATTACCACTACAAAGTGGAATTTAACTGGTTCAGATTGCAATGTGTTGAAAGTTGTGATACTATGTCTCTTGAAATCTCCTAGAAGTTGCTGTGTGATACTATGTGCATATTGAGTGGTGAAGATGTTTGTTCACCGTAGGTACCGTAACTAGAATGTATTGCGCATCAGTGTCATATATCCCGTTTCTAATAATAATTTGCAGAAAATGTTGTATCCTCCAACTGTTGCGGACGATGAGATTGTGGAAGTGATAGAATCAACAGATGACGAGATTGATGAGGTTAGTTCTTTCTACTTCTGTCAAGTTCTTGCAGTATATATTCTCTCTTCTAAGATATTCTTGGTTTCCTAGAGGGTTTATGCGCCTATCCTTATCCGTCGATTTCTTGGCCTAACACTCTACTTGAATATTCCAAATAGCAGTTTACGATGGTAGTTCTGATAGCAATTTAATGAATCTGATCTGTGATGATAATATTGGTTGTTGATGCGATTTAGTTTTGATTGGTTGAAAAAGCTGAGCTTTCCAGTGGTACAAGGAATACTTTTTACAAAATCTCTGCGGTTAAGAAATTGCTTTTCGCAAAGCCTTTTTTTTTACCATCTTGCTTATTTCCCATCCAAAATCTTGGTTCACTTTTCATATACCATTGTTTTTTTACAAGTAATATCTAATTTTTTCGTGTTCCTATCCGTTGTTCGTTTAGGGATTAGAAGTGAAGAAAAAGCGACAGAAAGGGATAAGCAAGGATTTCGCCGATAACTTTGTATTCGATTATGTCAGTGGAGAAGACAAAGGTTGTTCAGAATAATTCGATAGTTGTCCGTCTCTGGCTTTTCAATAGGTCTCTATAATTGCCCAAGTGATGACATTGCCAAAACTGTCAATTTATCATACGCATCACATAGTAGCAAATAAACTCTCCTTCCTTGGAAGAAATAGAAATGTTAATAAGATCTTGAAAACTGAATCAAAACAATGAGAATTTAATTGGATAATTTGAAACCCGCTATTTGTAGGAAATTATTTCGATTTAAATGATTGATTCCATCATTAAATGTTTAGCTACAGGAAGTAGAAATGTCGTAAAAAATGGTTTCGTCGTTCTCGACGAAATATGCTGACGACTTCGGAGTTTGAAATTGGGAAACCTCTTAATATTTTGTGATTTTACAGAAATTGATATATTGAAAAGTCTGCAGCCATATATGAAAAAGGAAACCAGCAGTACACTAGAAGAAAAAATTGAACGAGAACGCGCCAAACTTTTTAGTTTGGAACCACTGGGAAAGATTCCTGAACTCGTGCGAGAAATGGAAGACATTTCTGGTACTTTCAGATCTTTGATTTTATGAAAAGTTTCAAGCGTTGTTTTTAACATTCTTTTGAGGAAAATGAATACTAAATGGGCAAGAAATATTAAGGAGCAGAATTAAATATAATTTTAAGAAGTTTCTCAGAAGTAGTTTCTACCAGTAGTAGCATGCATTTGCTTATCGTCGAACATTACAAAGGAATACCGTTTTTGAAATCTTAGATAATATTCGTGAAAAGCAGCTGAAAAAAAGGAAATATTGTGCGACAGATAATTTTTTCGACGATGCAACCAGTAGTAACGCGCTAAACGCAGAAGCAACTATTTGTTTTGATCAAATGAATCTCTCTAGGGCACTTCTGAAGGTAACTAGCCCAAATTCGAATTTAATTCGAACATTTCACTTTTCCATTTCACTTTTTGTGAAATCAGAGCTTCCTAATACAAAATATAAATTTCCAGCTCATATGTTCAATTGTTTTTCCATGATATATTTGAATTGTAACATTTGGATTACAAAAATTAATAAGGCCGAAATTTTTTGTCATTTGAAATATTATTTTTCATGTATTTTAGGCCATTACAGCATGTGGTTATATTGAACCTACTCGAATACAAAGTACATGCATACCCCTTGCACTTGCAGGGCGTGATCTGTGTGCATGTTCTGCAACAGGAACTGGTAAAACAGCTGCTTTCATGTTACCCGTTTTGGAACGTTTATTATATCGGCCACAACAAAGAGCAATGACTCGAGTAATTATATTGACACCAACAAGAGAATTAGCTATACAGGTATTGTAGTTGTATGAACAAGCTTTTTATTAAAAAACATAATAAGCTTAGCTTATCTGCATGAAACAGATTTTTCGTCTTCCATGGTATGTTAGGGGCATATATCCAGACACAACACTAACGCTAAGGCGTTAAAATATTTCACTAAGATGTTGGAGCTAAAATCCTTGGATACTTACTTTAATTGCCAAAGATAATTGCATCCATCACTTTAATTTAAATTGCTTACAGACATTTCAAGTCAGTCGGAAGCTATCGCAGTTCATGCGTATTGACATATGTTTATGTGCGGGTTCGTTTTTTTTACAAATATAGGAAGATTATGTTAATTCCAAGCTATTCATTGCCTATGCTCATTTATGTGAAAAAATTTTGTCAAAATATAATCGACAACGTATTCAGAAGAACCCTTAAATGAAACTTCCATTTTTACTATTTTTAATTGGTTATTTTTTAAAAGAAGATTCAGTGGAGTTTGCCATTTGAGATTTAAGGTTGAATCACCTTTTCGTAGCGTCAAAAACTTTTTCTGAACAAACATTGCATTAAAGTCAGAATTATAACCCATCATAAACCGATCTTAGAAGACAGTAGAATAAACTATACTAAACAAATCGATGGTAGTAAGGAGTGTACACGAGCATTTGAGTGTTTAGCGACTAGAATGACGTAGCAGAGAACTCCGATAGAGAGCAGTGCACTGGTGTAGAATGCATAGGTGTAGTGCCATGATTGCACCACATGAGATGTATAAATTGGAACTATGAAATGTGTTATCCATTGAGCGGCTGATGCCAGTCCTGTTGCTTTTCCCAAATCGGTATTGTCTACAGCACTGCAACCGTAGATTGATGTGAAACAGACAAAATACTGATTTATAAGGCTATTTTGGGATATGGTAGGAAAATGTTATATGATACGAACAAAAGCGAGAACACATACTACCATTTAACTAAAAGTTTTTGACTTAATATTAACATTATAATAGTGTAAGCACTGTCAATACTCAATATTTCATAATCATGAGTAGATGGAATTGTAGATTCATATGATCTAAAATGTTTCTTTCTTTCAGTCAAGCTTTAGGCACTGGTGGTTTTCTGTTTTAAATTTTGAAATTAAACCACATACCTTGTGATTTGCGCATAGCTTTCAGCATATGCAATAGCATAGCATGCCGTCTGAAGGGCAATGACAACCAGTAGTTGATTGAAGCTTGCTGTGAAATTGACCAGTGAATAAGCACAGCAAAGGCCAATCAGCGAAATAATCAGTACTGTTCTTGGGTAGAAACGTCGTTGCAGATAGGGCAGCAGGAAGAACTGTACTATTAGCAGTGATGTGCCCATTACAATTAGCACTTTAGCCGAGTCATTTGGACCCTAAAATCTTTAGGAATCAAAACTCTTTCACCTTACTGATTCGGAACTATGAATAGCCCAAGATTAGCAGGATTGATAGATTTTGTGGTTTATAAATTTCGAAGATCAAATACGGAATTTTATTCTTGAATTGCTGTCTGATTCCTATTCTCTCATTCCTCTTTATTTCTTTTTGTTCAGCTACTACATAGGCACAATTCTTTCCATCGACGTGGCCACTGTTTTGATGATAACGTGGCAAAGCGAATTTTGCTTTTTTGTCAGCTAATGATTCAATAACATGTTTCTATTATGAGTTTCTTAGTTATTTATATGCAAATTTGGTTTAATTGAACCAAGCCATGGTTTTAAAATTTTGAAACGGTGATAAAAATAACCTGCATGAATGAACGCAGAAGGAAATTCCTGGATATTAATTCGTAGCAAATATAGGCAGCAATAAGTAACCCTCGCAAAAAAATACCTTCTCGAAGGGCAGCGTTATGCTTTATCATTGGCAAATAGTCCTAAACATAATAGGATTTAAAGTATGGCCTGTTAATATTTGTGCTTCAGTAGCGGATTTCAGAACTTATTTTCAAATCAAAGAAAGACTGCTAAAAATAAAAACTTCAGTCTTATTTTATAGAATTTTAATCATATTAAAAGTGCTTTTAAACAAAACAATATGCGGAGACTTCAATTTTCCTTAAATTAAAGTTCTAAACAAAACTAATATGCTTCTTGTATATGAGGATTTTGGAGGAAAGTAATTGCAAGGCAGTAAATAGATGTACTTATTAACTTTTGAAATGGCTGTACGGCGCGAGTTGAGCACTTATTCATGTAACTGACCTAATTCAAAATCGTCTTCTTCAGCCTGTCTTTGTTAACATCGTAAACATTACCTGCGGACGTAGTCGAGCAGTAGCAAGTTTGGGGACACTGTGTGTCTGTGGCAGAACATAGTAAATAAATGGAGTTAACGTCCCAATTAAAGCGATACCACAAATAAATTGTGATGCACGAAGACTGGTTCTGATCGCTAATTGTGATGCAAACATCGGACCCAGTAACATTGCCAAAGCCTGCAGATACGTTTATAGTGTTAACGTAAAATTAGAGGAAAGCAAAAAAATGAAAAAATTAAATGAATTCCATGCTGATTTGTACCATAAAGACAAAGTACTTCAAGCCATCTTTATGTTACATTTTGTGATTGCCTTCAAGCTCTCGGCTCTGCATCTAATTAGTTTCATGTAACTGACCAGTAAGTAGTATCCCAAATGATCTTTAGTCAGTAAGTAAATGATCTTTAGATGAGAAAAAAGCGTTTAAAAGAAGAAAAAGAAATTACCTGTGGTACGGTGAGCCGTATTAGGGCAGTGGTTCTTTCACGTTCTGTTGTAATAGTTGCTAGATACATTTCAACAGTTGCGTCCAGTTGATAACCCACTCTCAGCAACTTAATAGAAAAATTTTAATCTTATTTATTTCAGTCCTCATTTCTATAACCTACACTGCAGTTGTTTACTGTATTGGTTACGTTGTTTTGCTATTAACCGTTTTATGGACATCCTTTGATCTATATATGTTTTATTTTTTTAATGCTCCGCAAAGTGTCTCCCTGTTCGGATATCCTGATATTCGGATGAGATTGAGTGCTTATTTTACTGTAATCATTAGGGGAGTCAGTAGGACAGATACAGTAATAAAGTCCGTTTCTAACACGACTTTAACTGATGGGACAATTTCTGGGTGTTCTGGAAAGAACTCATAATTCATTGATAATACTCACCTAAAAATACAGTTAAAACGAAGCGAAGTATATCTGATTAAAAAATGTTAAATTAAAATGTGTTTAGTGCTTTTAAAATCACCTGTAGAAAAAAGAATGAGTACCAGCACTTGGCAAAGGCTAGCGCTGAATAATAGATAGATATAATGATCGCTGAAAATAGAAACATCGTTTTTGGACCAGTTGTGTCGGCAATCTAAATAACTTTAATGGCATTTTTTTTAAGCAGTTTGTTTTACCAGTCTTTTAGTGCAATTCGTCATAAAAAATTTTTTTGCCAAAATATGTAGTATTCACCTGTCCGACTACAAGGGCACCGATAGCATTACAAAAGCTTCCAAATGACTGGATATAACCAATGTCCACTATTGTCATAACCTGAAATTTGTTTTTCCCTATAAGTACTCAGAAAGTGTGTTTACCTTTCTCTGATTTTAAGAATTGTTATCTGAAAAAGAGTTCTTTTACATTTCAGTTAGATTTATTTCCTAATTAAAGGCATTAAAAAAGAGTTTAGCCAAAAAAAGGGATTTTTTTAATGCAAAATTCTATTGAAAATACACAACTTTTGCATTTCAGTTATATTTAGTTCGAAATCAAATGTAATTGAAATGTAAAACGATTCTTTTTTACAGAAAATAGTTAATAATTTGTACCTAATTAAAGGCTATTAAATTCATTTACTAATTTTCACTAATCTTTCTGGTCATTTTATATTCTTGTAGCAATCAAGAAATTAGTTAAAATTGATTTTCGATCGAATCAGTTTTCATTTTCATCAATTTTGATGTGACCCTCGCCACATAAAAACCCATTTTGTATCAGGATAAATGAAATAGAAATTAAATCAGACTTAACGGCTTTTATGCACAGCTGAGCTAGTTAGTACTGTTTCTAATACTCCAGAATGTACTGCGTCCAGTTTTGTCAGCCATTAAATAAAAACCGTTAAATCTGATTTAATTTCGATTTCATTTGTCCTGGTACAAAATGGGTTTTCTACTGCGGCGAGTATCACATCAAAATTGGTGAAAATGAAAACTGGTTCGACCGAAGAACAATCTTTAACTAATTTCTTGATTACTATGAGAAAATTTTTATGAAATATTTGCCAGTCTAGTTCTACTTTACTATTTTGTCTTCTTTTTGATAATCACCTAATCTGAATGTATATAGTTGGGTTGTACTATTAAAATAGTTGTACCCTATCAAGGCTTATGCCGATTTCTGTTTAAAAATATAACATGCCACATTTTATCAAACTAACATGAATGGTATCCCATTGAAGGAATGAAAGTAATGTTGTTGTCCATTGAGTTCCAATATTCCATAATCCATAGATAATACAAATTAAGAGCAGAATTCGTTGATTTCTTTCCATCGTAACTACCATAGGCAGATCCTTTATGAGATCAAATATAAAATTTCCCCTTTCTATGGAGTGAATTTTATCCTACAGAAGAGAAGATTCGATACACATAGAGAGTGGAGACGATCGGACCACTGATGTGTAGGTGTTTTCAGTGTTTTCGCTGATAAGAAAGGAGTCGGAGGTCGGATTGAATGGGGTATTCTGGATGACCGGAGGAAAGAAGTTGTACCAGTGTAACCAAATGAATCGTTTCTTTGGACTTGTGCTACTGCTGTTATGTTTCAATGGTGGTAGTATTGTTGAAATGGGAGGGGTAAGGGAGTGGTGCCGATTGTATTTAAGAATGAAATTCTGTTGTAGTGACAGGTACGGACGAATAAGTATCAAAGAGTAGTTGAATAAAATGTTGGGGAAAGAGTCTGAAATAAAGTAGGAACAAGAGCTGAGAAATGAATGTCATCAAAGTGATGATGGTAAATGCGGTCGAATCGCGAGAGAGCAGGTTGGAACAGGTTTTCAATCAAAATGGGGCAGTTTAGAATAAAAAGTGTGGATGTTCAACTAATTTTCGGAAAAAGAAAATCGGAATTTTTTCCTAGCAAGATGGGGGGGAGATTGTTTGTTTAAGGTGGACAAAGAAAATTTAAGGCGTGTTGGAGTTCGATAAAGTATAGAAATTGTTTGAAGATTTCGGTGAAGTTTCGGAAAATTGTATGAGATTCAATCATAACTTTAATTCCTTTCTCATTTTATATCTTAAATCTGTCTCTTTTTAATAATTCTTTTTCCCCATATTATATTTCTATATAGAATTCATCTATTTTACCTAAAATTTTTGCTTTTATCAGTTCTGTAGTTACTTCCGCAGAAAATGCCCTCTTCCTTTTTATCTCCTTATGATTTATTTAAAATGGTATTTGACGGACCGATTTCCTCCTTTTACAAGCATGATAATCATACACGAAGTTTCGGTATAATTTACTAACATTTTACTTTGGTATAATTTAATAACATTTTATTTTACTAATAAATAGTAAAATAAAATATTAGTAAATTATCCAATAAAATGGACGAAATTTTTTCTGTTCGAAGATTTTACCTTTTCTGTTTATTTCTTTTATAGGAGAGAATTTATCGTTATTGTCAGTTATTATCATTATCCTTACTAGTATAATTGAGAGAAAATAATTGAGAGTAGTATAATTGAGCTCCAATTCTTAAATTTTTCATTTTTCTTCCAGTTCTTTTTTTGATACTTGAATGCTAAATAGACTCATTTCCTACATTTTTTGTTATATGCTGCTAGATAATAGGAAGTTTTTTCTTTTTTGTACTTCGTTAAACATTTAAAAAGTCGGTACTTGATTTGCTGTATATGGCCGTTTTTTTAGAGGAGACTTCTAACTGAATCTGAAAAAAGCTTTCGTCTTTGAAACTGCTTTCATATAACTTGAATTAATTATGCCCTATAACTTGAGTTAGTAATACTCTTACACTCGGTAATTACGAGATATCTAAGACAAACTATATAAGAAGTAAAAAATGCCTGCAAATTTGACAGTTTTCAATTGAATTTAGAAAAAGCGTGTTTCTATAAACTTGCTTGTTTTTCTGGATAGGATGATAAAATGGAACCAGTCCATAAGTTGAGTAAATAAGAGTCATCGTTCATAGTAAATGCTAATCTATACTTTTTCTCTTGAAATAACCACCTCCTGGTATCTGACTCATTTTAATAGCACAACTACTAAAGTCTTCACCTTTCTATAGTGTTTTGCATGAAGTGCTTTTCTGCTCTTAAAAGCACTGGTATCAGGCGCTCAGCAATTTCATCATCATACTACAACTTAATAGATAATTCTACATAGGTCTTGTTGCTACCCAGTCTTCATAATTTGAATAAAAGTAAAAAAACTTACTCTAGACTGCCTTCAATTCAATGTAAATCATCTTGTGCGACAAGCGGCACTTATTTTTATTGTAGAAAAAAGGCTGACTGACTTAGTAATTTAGAAAACCAGTGAAAGAAAAACCATTGCTGATTAAAGGTCAGTGAATTGTTAGCAAGAAGATTAATGGCTACATTCTGACACTGACAATGACAAAGTTTTTTTATCCTTCTCTTGTAAAACAACTAAATTCAATTGAAAAGAAAGGAAACGGAACTATTTTTTGTATTGACATATTTCACCTATGAATATGTGCTTTATGATAGAAATCATCCAATAAACATTGGATGATGAGCAGAGCCCGAAATGAATGGTAACAAATGAAGAAATATTATAAAAGCAAATTATTTTCGATTTTTTAAGTCTTTTATTTTAAGTTGTTGGCTCTCTATCAGCCATCTGTCTCCGTTTTTTTAGTCTTTTAAATTTAGGTTATTACTCGCTTTTTTTCGCTGAGCTCTTTTTGCTCTCTTTTGTTCTTTCAAATTTGATCAGAATGGTTTTTTTGCTCCGTTAATTTTGAAGTATTTATTTATGCTTTCTAAAGTAGAAATTATGCTATTTATTTCACCTGGTTTATTTTCTTAATGTATACATTAAAGGTGGTTTGGATTTGAAAACGCAGGAAGCGGCATTACGACATCGTCCAGACATTGTGATCGCTACACCAGGACGACTGATTGATCATCTTCATAATGCTCCTAATTTTTCACTTGCTGATGTGGAGGTGTTTTTTCCAATATATTAATTTTACTTTTAAAAGTGTCGAAAATTATGCAACAATTTCTACCATTCTTACATCCCGTTGTGGAATGCACTGAAGGAAGGGTAAGTATGGTGGGTTTTCTGATTTTTCGGTTCCTTTTATCTTGGAAATCTTTTGCTTCTTGAAGATTTTGGTTTTGGATGAGGCAGATCGAATGCTGGATGAGGCTTTTGCTGATCAAATGAAAGAAATTATAAATTTATGTGCGCAAAATAGGCAGACAATGCTGTTCTCAGCCACAATGACAGATCAGGTATGTATGTTTCAAAATCCTTATCCTTTGAATTCACTGTTTGTGTTAAATTATAATGCGCAGTATTGGAAAGGGCAGATGATTCATACATGTGTGTTTATATCCATAGCATTCTTGATATTACTTAAGAATGAGAATAGTATTAAGACAAATAAATAGTGGTGGGAGGACAAATTCTGACTCCTAGTACCTAGCTCAACAATTTTTACCATTGGTTTGTTTTGCGTCAAAGATTTGTTTATATGAGATTCAACGTAAAAGTTTTCTTTATTTCTCATTTTATGTCTCTATTTTATTGTTTGGTTCATCAAGTGAACAACATTTTGAGGTCAAAGAGTTGGCAGCTGTCTCTTTAAAAAATCCGGTGAAATTATTCATCACTGGTAATACGGAAACAGCTATGAATCTCCGGCAGGAATTCGTACGTATACGGGAAAATCATGAAACTGATCGGGAATGTATTGTAGCAGGTAACATATAGTCTTTTTGTCTTTTTAATATTCCTAAAATTTTCACATGTCTTTGTGATTTTTCAGGGCTAGTCACACGGAATTTTCCTGATCACACAATTATATTCGTGAAAACGAAAAGAAGTTGTCGACGACTCCATGTTGTACTAGGTCTATTGGGAGCTAAGGTAAGTGTTGTATAATTGCAAGTCTAGAAGTCTGATCATCTGCATTTGCACCTGCATAAGTCATTTAGACTATTTACAATTGCTTTTTTGTTTTGAAAATCAAATTTAAAACTATAATCTGCTGGATAAATCCATGATGTTTGAAAAAAGTGATATATTAGATTTAATTTCTCAAGGTTGGTCAACTCCATAGTGGCTTAACACAAAAGCAACGTGTTGAAGCATTGTTTCGATTTAAAAAAGCTGAACTTGACGTGCTAGTTTCAACAGATCTCGCAGCAAGAGGACTTGACGTGGAAGGTGTTAAGACAGTAAGTTTTTTTACAATATCATGAGGTAAGTATTCGTAGATTTTTTCTTGGTTTAATAAGATAGCTGTAAAGTAATTCCAAATTGAAGCTGTTTTAATAGAGGCGAACTTCTTGACTGTTTTTTATTGATAGAGCCGTTAATTTTCATGCTAAATAATTTTTTTACAATGCAAGGTTATTAATATGGATATGCCCACTACGCTGAAGCAATACGTTCATCGAGTTGGTCGAACTGCTCGAGCGGGTCGTGTAGGACGGTCCATTTCTCTGGTGGGTGAAAGTGAAAGAAAAATTCTGAAGGAAATTATTGCTTCGAATAAAGGAAGTTCCTTGAAGCAACGGCTCATCAGTGCTAGTCAGTTTTCTAATCTTTTCGTTTTCAATGGATTAAGAGCTATTTACTATATTCCTGTTCAGTTCCAGCACAGTACAATTCTTATTTTCCTTCGTGGATAGAAGGAGGAACTTTTTCTTATTATAGATGTGATCGAAGCTTATAAGAATAGGATTGACAGTTTGGAAAAAAGTATTGAAAGAATCAGAGAGGAGGAAGAAGCAGAAAGAACTCTGCGACTTGCACAGGAGGAGTTGCGAAGAGGTAAGGCAAAACTGGAAGGGAATGTGGAGAAACGACGATGGATGAAGTTGCAGAAACCGTTGATTGGTGAGAAAAGTAAGATATATTGTATTTTATATGAAATATCAGTGTTGTCAAGTAGCACCAGTGTGGAAATTTTCCCAATTTTCGGTTGCTAGTCCACTGAAGAGCTTATATTAGTATCATTATAAAATTAGCAGAGATCTGAAAATATGAGGAAGAGGAGATATGCTGTGTATGTGAGTGCCAATGAAGATTTTAAAATAATATTCTGTAAAGTACTTTTCTTCAGATGCGAAGAAAAGTAAGCGTCATGATGAAGTCAGAAATGAGGTAAATTTTTTTAAAGCAGTTTTCCGTAAAATAGGATAAGATGTGGAAACAGCGTCATTAAGGTAGATGAGAGGAATTACTGTAGCATATATACATAGGCTTTGATGTTTTCAACCTATGAAGTTGACTGTTCCTGATGGGTAGTACTTTCCGTTGTTTGATAATGATTCATCACGACTTTTCAATGTCAATAATTTAATGTGCTAATTGTATCTCTCTTCTTCATAACGTTGGATGTTCTTTGTTATCTCTTGTTACTGTTCAAATTACTACTCGTGGTTACTATTTCGAATTCTTCAAATAATTTAATTCCTTGATAATTATTCATAGTAACTACCAGAACATTAATCCACAGGAAGAATTACGAGCTCGACAAGTGGCTGAATTTCAAGTGCGTGCAGCGAAACGTGCAAGAAAGGGAAAAAAGTTACGAGCTATCAGGGAAAACAGTGATGATACGAGTGGGAAAAGGAAGAAACGGAAGTCTAAGAGTTCATTCACAAGCGAATTAACAGACGTGAGAAAGAAATCTATAAAACGATTTAGATATGGGTAAGCAAACTTGGAACTTCATCTTTGAGATCGAATTATTACTGATAATTGTGCAGACTCTATTAGTGTCTCGAGACTTTCTGGTTGCAGGCCTGAAGATGCAGAATTCAAAGCAGCAAAGATGAAAAAAGCAGCGCGAAGAACCTTGAATTGAAGACTTATGATATTTTAAAGTATCCTGTTTTAAAGTCACAGTTTTGCAATAAAAGTTGAGGCTCGAAAATCGAATGATTTTTACTCACAGCGTACACAATTACGGATGACTCCCTATCATTCAATGAAGCGCATTAACCAAGAACAATTCGTTCAGTGGTGAAAATTCATAATTTATGTTCTAAGTCGTACAGATGGCACGACTTAGAACACATATAAATTTGCAAAATATGATTTCACGACCCACTATACCATATTTCTAAAGGAGATGAACTAAGTTTCCTGTTAGTGTTCTGAAATAGTTTTAAACAGCAGTTGAAGTATGAATGCGAAAATCTTTATTTAAACAGAGGTTCTAAATGTTTCTCCAAATAAAGTTTGATAAATAACATTTTTAATGTGATTGATAAAACTTTCATAAACGCGTGAACAGGGAATGAACAAATATCCCTTTTATAATGTTTAATTTGATTATCATATATATCATATATATATATTGCTGTAAATACCATAAAACTCTTGTCCATGAAAAATGACATCGTTGAAATCAAAAAACAAATTAGGATTACCGAGATTGCTGTATCAAAATTTTCTATACTTGTTTAAGAGTATTTGCCTTGGTCTATTTTGAAAATCGAACAGGAAGCAACGCGAAATCGAAATGAATGACTTTCAAATAGGAATGAATGACGACGGAAAATGGATTATTGTGCCACAGCAACCAAACCCATCTATTTCAGATAAATCGTTCATGATTGCGTTGATGTCGCCATCGAATGTGTCATGGAAAACGCAACCACTTTCTGTTTCGGTCCAGTTAATGAAGTGATTCATCTTAACTGTAATTATCAATCTGGGACGTCTCAAGTTCAGACGCTGTAATACTTTAACATCTGCCTGAAAAAAATTCCATTTCTTAATGTTATCTTTCAATTGCGGAAATTTGCAAAAAATTGCTTCAATTTCATTCCAACAAGACTTCGTCAAGAGGCTACAATCTACATGTCTCGCTATCTACAATCTTCTGAATTTATTTCTTTTTCTGCGCTTGTCTACTTTTGGATATCGAATGAAGAGTGCAATACAATCCGAACATTTTAATTATCAGCCGCTTATCCTACCAGTTTCTACTAACAACTGCTTTTAACAGTGAATACTGCATCTATCCTATTTTTCGAATACGGAAGTAATGTTTCCGTTACTACACAACAATTGCAAATCACTTGTTAGAAACTTGCAAATTCGAATCTCAATTCTTAAAAATGTGGTTCAGTTCATTATTCATTTCATTGGATTGTAATGATTCCGCAGAATTCTGTCAGTAATAAAACTGGACCTCATTGTCATGAAGTCTCAAGAAACGTAAATTCGGTAGACTCTTATCACAGAGATTGTCCCAGACTTCATCTTCATAGGACTCACCGATTTTGCTCAAATCTAGCAAGACCAAATGACTGAAACGAAATTCTTCAAAAGAAATATTCTAAAAGCAGCTGCACTAATTACATCAATGTTTCCCCTAAAGCCAAATGGAGCTACAAACGATTTAACTTTTCAGGATTTTACTTTTATAACATCGATTCTGTTGATATGCATCGGTAATCGCTTTGGATACAGAAATTTCATTCTTACTGCTCGAGATTTGATTTGTCTCAAATCATAAGTGAAGCAAGAGACAAAGTATATTATAAATGAGGTTAGTCATGAGCTATATCACTCTTCACTGCACAAGATTTGCATCAGAGAAGCCCAGGGCAATTATCAATAAATAGTAAATAATTAGGAATCATTTTTATATGGAGCAAATATAAAAGCGGATAAAAAGCAGAAGAGCGAATAAATTACTTGAAATTTTTGATAACGAACTGAATAATATCGCTACCCATATACTCATTGCGTTGCAAATTGAGTGTTCGCAGTTTTGGACAACTAAATTAAGCACTTTGTTATATAAACTGGGGAGTTTTCGAATTATGCATCCTCTTCCTCATTTATATTATTAGCATATAAAACCAGCTTCGATATACTACTTTTTTTCGATACCATTACAAATTACTTCACTGCAGCACTTTGGGACTGTTCAAACTACCTGAGTAACAATAAAAGATAACAACATACTTTTGAGCAATGACACTCACAAGTTCCGCATTGCACATCTGGAATTCAGTGAGGGCTAGATTCCTAAGTTTATACGGAAACCACTTTTCCGGTTCTTTATCCGGTAACGTAAATAAGTCAACCATTCCTCCTGTAGTAAGATTGCAGTATTGATCACCACACGCCAAACGAAATTCCTCCAGATTGCATAAATTCTGCAAATCAAAGCATCAGCAGTGGAATCTGATAACAGCAGTATATTTTTAAGTAATAAAACTGACAGTCAATGAATTTTCTTACATTAAAAATCAGTTAGGAATGAAAAATCTAAATCTCTAGAAACAAGAAATAGAGACACACTCTCTGTTTCACTGTATTTACATCGGGATTCTTTGATTAAACAGAAGAAAAACGAAGAGCTAACATATACCACTTGAACCGGGTCGGTCAGTGTAACACATTTCCGTGTCATGAAAAATTTCACAGAAAATAAGCTAAGCGTTAGACTCCCAGAGGCTTGTGCTGTAGGGAAAATTGAACTGCTACGTGACATCCAATAGCTAAATTTGATACCAAACGGTCACTGCTAATCAACAAACGACACTACAGTCTTGCAACCTTGAAGCTTGCAATTATCGATTGACAAAGCAAAATTTTAAAGATAAATTTTACTTGCCTTCAAGTGCAAAATTTCCTCATCATCGGTATAAAGACACATATCCAAAGATAAAAGTTTCAAATTATGTAAAAGACCAATATAGCGAAAATCATGATTCGTGATGAAATACCCAAGATAGAGTTCGGTAAGTGTTAATCGCCATGGAGAAGTTCTGATCCCGTAGAAGCTAACAAACAATACTCACAAATTGCATTACATTGTTTCAAATCGATTGGGGAAAATGCTATTTATTCTAGTGACTTCGATACGTTATGAATCATGCTTAGAGTTCATAACACGAATTTTAAATATCCAAAACTTTTGGGAAAAAGCAGACCGCTTCAGCAGTCCCCATTATGAACGATGTTAAAAAAATTTGTTACTGAAGAAGTCTATTGTAATTGCCGTAAAACAATTTTTGGAAAAAAAATTTACTTAACTCTGGCCGCTCCATTTTCAATGTGCAAAACTTTCAATGGTCGTTTCCAAGCCAATAGTTTAATGTCGGCTCCGTCGCAATACTCATTCATATCACCAACAAAAAAATTCTCCATTTTCGGGAAAGTGTTCTCATCTTCAAATAACAGCTTCAACATTTGACTCCAGTCCTCTGAACACTGAATACGAGAAAAACACTGCAATGCTGATACTTGAAACCATCAAAATCTTTATAAATCAACAGCTTCTTGAAAGTTTGCAGAGCAATAAAGCGATAGAACCGAACAGGAATAGCAAAACTAATTTTTCAATTTTATGTCAATGTTCAAAAAAATCTAAATTCTGTTATTCATAATTTTGAATATAAATCATACTCTTTTGACTCCTTCCATATGCAATGTATCAAGATTAGGAAAACATTTGGATAATTTTTTCAGCAATGATGCGTTCATTTCTGTAAAAGCCCTGCTGAGTGAAATCCTAATATGTTAAATAAGATTTATTCAATTTACGTCTTCAACTTTCTGCTTTAATGCTGCCTTTTCTCTAAAGAGTACTTGTTTTCAAGTACACAAGAATGAAACGATACTTGAAAATTTTGCATCATGAGGGAATTATTACCATTATATGAATTAATTTAAGGAAAGTTGTTCGGAAAATAGAAATTTTTTAAACAACTTTTACTCAAATTCCGCATAGAAAAGTAAACGGATAACCATCAAATGAACTGATATCGAGGTGAGTGACGTTGGGCATGTAAGTATCGAATAATTCGTCAACTCGGGCAGATGGTAATATTACCGTACACTCGATACACAGTTTGTGAAGGTGATTCGAATTCTAGGAAGAATAATTTCACAAGCAGAACTCCACAAACACAATACTGACAACGCAAGAAAACGAAATGAAATATAAATCTAATCCCAACTCTTATCCTACCTTGAATCCCTTTTTGGGATTTCAAAATCAAAATTTCATATCACATCTTGAACGCAATATGTCACTGTTGCTAATTTCCATAAAATTCTTAAAACAATTTTTTGTCATTCTTCATAACTCTTTTTAACTGTTGCTTTCTTCCATTACCTTTGTTCCTCACCCCAAATAAAAAAACAAGCATCTAGAATCCAGATGATAGAAAAGCCTGATTCTAAGTTCTGTTCTATTCTGACTGTATCCTGAAAAACTATTTAAAATGATGCTCTAACAGTTTTGATCTTATTCTGTAACTCGAACATTTAGAGCTATACGAGAAATGGTAGTAGCAATCTATAAAGTCCGAGAAGTGTAAACCTATTCGAGCAACTTGTATAATGCATGTTATATTTTGAAAAAGGACGACGTCAGGATTCGATTGTTTAATTATAAATAAAATTAAAAAATCGGACAGGATTCAATATTAACCTTAGAAAAAAAATTTTTTACACTTTCGTACTCCAACGAATAATTAGTGACCAAAACCCGAACTTCACTCAAGAGAGTAGAATGATTTGCTAAATTATTCCAACGGTGAGACACCAAAGAGAAACAATTAACCAGATGGATTGGATGACAGTATCCAAATATCATCAGTAATATATCATCCGGCAAATCATTTATTGTGGTGAGTACTTCCTGAATGAATTACTTATACTTATCTCTTGCACGAATTTCTTAACAATAAAAAGCTCTCAAGCAGTGAATAAATCTGCTACTGCATTTTCTTCATAAAATGTTTTTGGCATTAAAAGTACCTGCTCGTTACCAAATTCTTGACGATCATCTCCTTTTTTTCCTTTTAAAGTCTAAAAATATTGCAGATTATTTCTCCTTCATTCACCACTGGCAGCATTACAACGAAAGTTAAATCAATCTGTATGCTAAGAAGCCAGAAATACCTGGTAATGCAAATCACCCGCATAAGGCCCGGATAATGAAGATACTGGAGAGACATGCGTCCCTATGTCATTCTTCACTAATGGATAGTGCATCTGCAAACAGGCAGCGCTACTCCTGAAATTAAGAACTGATGTGCTGGTACCTCCAAAATCAATCTTGTAGTTTAGATTTTATCCATCATCCTTTGTAGTAAAAGGAAAATTACGATTTAAAAAATTTGTATTTTTTGTCAATCGTATCATATTTGCGGGATAATGGTCGATATTGCCCCGGCGATTCTGTGAATGCATCCATTCTGCAAGCAATAACTAATTAAGACCATCGCAACTATAGCTTTCCTTTAGTAGCTCTTTCAAAGGGTCATCATTATACCTTTGCTATCTTAGAACAATTTCTGAACAACTGCGCAAAAATGGTAGATGGCACCAAACTAATGCTACTCAGAAGCAAAGATGACTTATTCCACTCACTACAACAATTCGATAATTATACTTGAAGCAGAAATGTGAGCAAAAAACAAACTGCTTAAGAATCCACATAAAGCAGGTTGTCAAAGCGAAAACACTTGCGTAACCCTAAAAGGAAAAGGTTTAAACATACGGCCAAAGAGCCGGATTTGCATGCATTAAAATGAGTGACTCATTAACGCCATACGTAATTATCAAACAAAAATCGTTTTTTTTAATAAGGAAAGGATCAAGTATAATCCCCATAATTCTCCTTTTTGTCGAGCGTATAAAGAAGGTAGGTCACGTATATGGAATGCATCATTCTGCAAGCAATAACTAATTAAGACCATCGCAACTATAGCTTTTCCTTAGTGGCTATTTCAAAGAGTCATTATTATTATACCTTTCACATAATGAGTTTGTATAGAATGGAAAAATTCAAGAGTTAAATTAATAAAAACTGTTAGAAATCTACAGCGCTATGTTGCTTAGTTGAACATCTCTGGATAAGTAGGACAAATAGGGAAATGGGTTGGGAAATAAATAGGCACATATTGTAATGAGTTTGCTTACCTGCGTTCATAATAAACCAACCCATAGAAGGAACCAAAACAGATACATGAAGAGAGCATGAAGACCTACTCATACATCCCCACACTACCTGGCTAATTCCCCATCCGCCCACATCCCCATATTCCCGCATATTTCAAATGAATATGGTTCCTGGAACGAAATGGAATACTGTACTTCCGATGCTATGCGAGAAACGTGTGGCGGAGCATATGTTCGGAGAGGGAAGTACCGGTTACTTCGTACATTTCATACAATTAAATGTCACATTTTGAAGATTCAACACTCAGTAAATACTGTATCGATGTTTCTGATCAGATCTAGAACTGCAGTAAAATAAACGGAGTTAAAATTCCGACTCATTGGTTGAGCGAACCTACAGTGAAAAAAAGTCTCATAGTAATTACTGTAATTACGGCTTCACAAGCGAGCCACCAAATACAGCAAAGTCGACTACTGCTTACTGTATCATTCAACGCTTTTGTTAAAATGCCGGGAGATCACTGTAGTGGGCAATAAATATATCGCTAGAATTACCAGATGTTTTTGGCATACTAAATTTTTTTTCTATACAATGCAACCTTTTAACATAAAGAAGCGGTAGAAAGCAGGAACCAATCTAGGAGTGATAAGAAGTGGTAAAATAGACATAAAATTATGGGTTTTCACAAATTAGCGAAGTTTTCATTTACAGGAAGAAATGATTTGAGTTGAAATCGATACCATTTACGTGACAGCCAAATTCGTATGCTATTTTTCCATGTTAATTTAAATTCATAAATCTCCTTTTATTGATATATACATTTATAAAAATATTTTCCAATAGGAGAAAAGATAAATGTGCATGTTACAATAATGTTATGTGCTTGGAAGTGGTTGTATATTCAAATAAACGAAACTGAAAATCGCTGATTGAACTAGAAATCAGACTTTAAACAATGTAAATTTTCGAATTAAACAACTTTCCTTTTACAATAATTCCCAAAAAAACCTAATTCTTCCACCGGAAAGAAAAGAAGAAGAGAAAAATTAATTAAACAATTTACAAAAGTATAAAACAGAAATCGCAATGAGTTTTGGCATATACAAAGCGAGAAGAGCAGCGATTTCATATATACAGAAGTTACAATAAAGCATTTACAGAATAAATTGATAGTATCCAATGTGCTCTGATATTCTGTAACTGAATCTCAAGTCATATTTTAGCTAATGATCCCATCCGCCTCCTCAATTTTCGAATGGTTTAATTACCACAATTTTTTCTTTAAATTTAATTCATAGATCTGCCTAAGATTTAATAAAAAGGTTGACTAAAACACTTCCATAAAAAAAAACTACATAATTGTCTTACAACTGACGAATTATATTGCACTGTTGCTGCTAATGGAGGAGGTAGTTATCAAGTTTTGTTGAAAAAGGAAAGTTTTTTCTTTATATTCAGTGTATGCGATCTTGGATACCACTTTTCCTGGAGTAACTTTCCATCGATTTTTTTCTGTTCTGCCGAGAACGCTGCAAAGTCAAGAATATTTTAGACACTGACACCTTCATTAAGTTCAGATTTAAATGTGAAAATCAGAAATCTAAAACATGTACCATTTCCTTCGCCGAACCAGTTGAACGACTCGAACGACCGAACTTGAACTTCACCTTACCATCACTATCTAAAAACTTCAAAACTTTCACCGGTTATTTCAAGCAGTCCTATCATGAAATTGGGACTAAACACAGATTCTTACACAATTTTATGAAATTCTTTTTTTCAGTCATTCCCAGAATTTCCAATTCACATATTTAATAGCAGGAAGTAAGATCCATAACCTTTATGTTTCTTCTCAGGTATCAACCAGCCGACTTCTTTAAATGCCTCATACATTTTATGACCTTGTGAAGCCAAAAATCGTTTTGCATTAAAATGGCGTTGCCATGGAGGGAAAGTACATCTTTCCTATAACTGTAACGATCGTCTTCGTATTTTAAAGCACAAGTGTATGCTTTTCCTTCATTTAATGTTTTCATCTCGGAAGCTGGCATTAAGAAACATGAGAGAATCTTGAGGAGATAACAGTGCAATGATTAGCCATTTAGAAATAATCACAGAAAAAAACCTTTGGACAGCATTCTTTGGTCCACCAATATTTTTCACAAATTAAACGTAGATCAGTACAAATCGAGAGATCCAAAAGAGAATTGATGTACTGAAATAACATTTTGTGAAGCTGTTTACAGTAATTAAGATTTCATTGATTTACGTAAAAACATTCTCTACCGATGGCTCGGTTTGCAAACATTAGTGTTGAAATGTATGAATACTTGAATTTCTTGTTATTCGCAACCACTCATTCACTTAACTTATCTGAATACAAAGATTAGACTGTATTTAAACTTGGCGGGGCTTCAAGAAAAGAAAACCTTAGCAAATTTTATTTTACCAATGATTGAAGGGAAAAGGGTGTTACCAGCCAAAACTTGAGCAAGATTGGCCGACATTACAAGTGGAATTTAATACACATCGCTCTTAGCCAATATTTGTTTTCTAACTCATCAAAAAGTCTAGAACGAAAACTTTGTCCAAAAAAATCAAAATTTTAAGCCGGAAAAAAATATTCAGTACCATTCTCTTATTATAATGTCCCACCCTACAACTCATTTTTCAATCAATTTCTCACTTTCAGAACATAATCCTCAAAATGTGAGTTAACAATCACGAAAGATTTTGAACATCAAGCATGAGAATTCCAACTGGCTTCCATTAACTTTTGTGCTTTAATTTTGAAGAGAAAAAAAACAATATTTATTGAAATTAAAATAACTCCAAACTTTTAGCCGATTTTTTCCTGGAATGTTATTTACAGCTCTGTTCAACTGCTCTAAAATCTTATCACGATGCGCTTTGGTTCGCTTAACTGTTCTTGAAATCGCTTTCTTCACCGAAGAAATTACCTACAGAATGAAATACATCAGCAAAATTGATTTATCAGAGCTCCTAGCTTACCAATTCAATCTTCATGTGCGCGTCAGAAAACCCAATTGATGCGGACATAAAAATTGAATCAATATTGATGGCGTAAGGGATAAACAATCAACGTGTCCGAAATGCTTCAATTACCTCTAGTATCTCACTTCAAAGTAAAAATCTTTTTATATTTTTTACATTCAGATTCATGTAATGCATGAATATTCTAAATCCAATATATTCTTTTAATGCATCTTTTCCAACCAATTAAAACCATGAAAACACAAAGAAGTTATTTCATTATATTGCTTCAATTTTTCTATTACGACTTAAACTTTTTAATTATTAAGATCACAATGATAAGTTTTGTCATAGTTTTTTGCTTCTTCCCATCTGCATTAAATGCAATTATTCATGCTATGATACATAGCTCTCAATCAAAAAATTTTTAAGATTTATGAACGCCAATAATAGATCTTATGATATGGTTACAAGATGAAATCTTTTGAGTTGTTGAAAAAATCCGATAATTTGCAATAATTTCACTATCAATCTTTTCTTATTTTGAAATCCCAAGAATATTTATAAAATGAAAGTTACTTTTGTAACATATCATTTAATATGATTTTAGTAAAATAATGTCTTTTATAGAAAGTTACAGAAAGTTACCTAAATCTCAAAAAAGACTTAGCGAAGGTTAGTCAGAAGCACGAAGTTTTATGTACCACTGCAAGCGTATTTTCATGCACAATAATGAACTTAAACCGCTATAACATTGTTTTCTCACTTATGTTATAGCTAAGGAAGATAACGAAAGTTGTGCTTAAGGATGCATTAAAGGGATCAGCAGTTACACAAAATCATTAAACAAATCGTAGAACTTTGAGCTACTGATATGAATAAAAATTTAAAAAATATATATTCAGCTAATGCTTTTTTCAGCAAAAGAAAGAACCCACCAAAACTTTACTCTTGTCTTTTTTTGATTGGCGTACTTCTTCAGAATTACTTTCCAGTAGCTTCTTCAATTCCCGTAACTTTGAGTCCGCAAATAATGAACTTAAATCGTTATAATATTGTAGTTTCTTTTCCAATGATTTGATATTTTTCACACTTGATATAGCTTCAAAACACTTCTTTTCAATACGCTCAAAATCCGTTATGCTTTCCGGAACAGATGTGGTCTCCCTTTGTGCCGACAATTCTTGTGATGAAACTTGTGATGTTAACAATCCAATTTTCGGTTTAATCAAAGGATGGTTTGCCGAAAATGTCGGAATTGGTAGAATTAATTTAGGGATTGACAAGGGTTTCTGGAATTTAGAAATTTCTATTTTAACAGACTCTGAATGTCCTGATGATTCAGTTTCCATCGAATTCCGATTTTCCGAAGAATCAATTACCACCATCTGCAAATCCACCTGCAGTTTTCCGTCATGATCTTTTCTGCTATCAATCAATGTTTCGCTTATATTTGGCAAAATCAATGAATAATAGTTGCATGGTTTTTTTAGTTTCTTCGTATGTCTTAAATATCGTCGAACGGTTTCACTTTTTGCACTGAACTGATGCTGCAAAATAACACCTAAGTTGCCAGAAAAAGAAAAAGAAAAACAAGATACATGCTACTGCCTACACTCCGAACAACGCAATATTTTGCCGTCAGAATGATATGACTGCAAGGCTAATGTCATCGTAAATGGGTATGTCAAAAAACCCATGCACATAGTCGTCTTATATATATCATAAGGTCTTATACAGTATATCTATATAAATTCGAACTTTCTAACCCTGCTGAATCAAAGAATGGCAATCAGTACTAATTATGTTTCTTTCATTATAAAGTTTTTAGAAGTTCCAACTATATTTCACCATTGATAACTAATGCTATGCGTTTAAACTGAATTTCGTTTGAGAATTACAATCATTTACAAGGTTCGATCAGAGCTGAACATCAAGCAACTATAATATTTCGATTGTTTTCTAAGTTTTCTTTTCGAATTAATTCATTCAGAAATATGAATAGTTATATCATTAGAATAGTATTATACCAACTTACTTCGATTGAAACACGTTCGCATTGATTTTTAGCGAAATATCCATCCTTATCTTGCGTTGCACTGATGCCTTCAGCATTAAATATCCAAGAAAACGGTTTAATTGCATGCATCTTCGGAATATTGGATGGCAAAACAGAGCAAACCGAAATTGATGGCTTCAGCAAAGTTTCAAAGAATGGATGTAAAAAGGAAGGAGCAATATCTCGGTACTGCAGACCAAGAAAGCGATCCTGAATATGATTATGTTTTGTGAGAAAGCAGATTAATCACTCACCATATTATTTTTGAAGACAACTAATTTCATTGTTTCGTACAAACGAATTAATAAGTGACAACATAATTTGATTTGATTTGCTAATTTTTCATTAATTATATATTTCAAAGAGAAATAATAAAATATGTTTCTGATAATAATTTCTGATAATAATTGTTTCTGATAATAATTATTAATGACCCATTGTTTCGATCACGAAATTTCTCAATCTACAAGGATAATTATGGGATAAAATGCAAAAAAGGATAGAAATCTATTGCAGAAATATAACAGCATCCATAAAACCAACCTCATTGACGAAACAAACATTTTCTGCTGACATATATGACAATGACTCTGGCTTTCCAATACCTGATAATGTGGAAAAAAATTAGTTCAGAAAACAGTAATGAATTTAGAACATAAAAGTCGAAGTATTATAATCATATTAACTAAAGCTTTTGTCTATTCACATACATGATTGCCATATTGCATTGAAACTTACAAGAATATTACTCAAACCCTATACCAACCATGGTAAGATTAAAATGTGACAAGTCATTCTAAATTTGTAAAAGAGGATACCGTAAGCGTAGTAGAATGTAACCATAGCAATAGCAGCAGCTGAAATGATTGCCATGAATCTGATATTCCGTTCCAAAGCAAAATCCTCCATGATTTGATTGAATGGTGAATCAAAGCATTTCGCTGGACAAGAAAGAAAGGAATTACATTTTCAAGTTCTCATCTTTTTTAAACATCTGTTTTCATCCTTTTTTGTGATGATAAACTATCAAAATTATGGCGAGTCGTTATGAAGATTATTCAAAACTGTTCAGAATCGCGCTTATTAAATAATGGTACTGTTATTGTACACGTCTTACGTGTGAAGCGAACAGCATGAAAACTTATCACCCTGCTCGCTATGTCTATACATTTTGGAAACCCGATTACTTTATAGTTTATCTGTTTCTATTATAGGAAAGCGAGACATTTGCACTTATCACTTCTTTCACAACTGAACAATCAATAAGTAAAACCAATTGAATAATCGAAAATTGGTGACATACAAAAGAATCTTTCAGAAAATTATATAAGTTTTCACGGTGTTAAATTTTAAATTGAACCAAAGGGATAGCCACAAAACATTTTTGGCTTCTGATTTAGGATCTATGCATCAAAATGGGAATATAATCTGGTATTACAAAATACTGACCATTATGAGTAGTGGAACTTAAGAATGTATCAGTCTCCATTACGTATACAAACATGCTGGCTACCATTGTCTTATGAAATGTTAACAAAATTTGCTACAATTGGTATTTAAAAGTAAGCTTACATAATTCATCCAGTTGTTCGGATACTTTGACAACGTCAGTGTACGCAAGCGCGGAGGGATCACTGAGCACGTCTTCTTCAGTAACTACAGAAATATCGTCATCATCATCTATACTATCCTCATCTCCATCATCATAATCATCATCAACATTTTCGACCTGATCATCTTCCTCTTCCACCTCATTTTCTGACGCCGAATCATCTTCCTCTTCCTGAAATTTTAAGGTATTATCATAATTATAATCGCATTCATATGCCAATTTTATAACAACATCAAACTTGATGATAAAATAAACTTACATCTAACAAATCGAAATCATCTTCGCCCACAAAACTCCACGATGAATGATTAGTGTCGAAGCTTGAAATGGATGGTGAACGAGTCAAACGACATTCATCCATCCTATAAACATGAAAACTTGATAATAATAATGTGAAATGCTTTTTCACGGTGCAATTTCAATGAATAAAAGTAGAAAAAGCGAACAGAATATAACGAATGAAAGTTATTTCCATATAGTAAAAGTAAAAGATGAAAAGATTATACAGTAAACATGAAATCATTAATGCAGAAGTAGTGATAAAAGAGATAACAGATTAAAAATGCCTGCTATATTTTGTTTGTTCAACTTATTTTTTGCTTCTTGTAGATGTTTAAATTTTTCTTCAATAGTTTATGATTTCCACAGAGAGAGAGAGAGAGACAAAGAGAGAGAGAGATCTTTTCCCTTTCTTCCTATTTCTATATTAATCCTAATCAAACTCTTTTGCATCCCTCACATTATTTATTCAAAAAATGATTTAAAAAAACTATTATTTATTTGCATAAGTAATTTATTTGTCAAATTCATCCCTTTCATAACTTGTTTGATAATAAGTATTTCACAGCGTATGAAAAACAAGAATGAAAGAGACGAGCAGTTGCGCAGGCATCATCATCATCATCATATTATCGGTTTGATCCTTAAGCATACGCATTTCATTTCTCTCTCTCCCTCTCTCTATCTCTCTCTCTTTCTCTCTCCCTCATAGAAAATAACAAGGCTTTTCTTTAGTTTCACTAAAAGAAACTTTTCTGCACTTATGTTTCAAGGACGAAAAAAAGAGGAAAGACAGAAAAAGAGGAAGAAAGAGAAGGAAAATAATGATATACCATGAGGTACTTTAGGAAGACATACTTGTTATCGATGGTTTACTGAATGACTAATAATTGTCATTGGTTTATTGATTGGTTGGTGACAAATAAATGAAAGATGAAATGAAAGTAAAAGATATGGCTAACATTAAAATTATTGTTAATAGTAAATGCGACAAATGCGAGTGAAAATAATATCTGTCACTGAGAAAGCTATCATTTCCATGATGACTCATCATCCATAGTTATAGCCAACCAAGAATTCAGATCGCATTAATATACCATTTCATATAATTAATTTATTTTTACATTTTAATATATGAAATGAATTCATCTTCTCATGCTTCTTTCTTTGGGAGAGAGAGGAAATGATTGCAGCCATATATATGAGAAGGATGTGAAAGGTAAATGAGTGGAAGAGTGAAAAAGAACAAATGAGAAATAAATGTAAAGTTTAAAAATGCTAACAAATATCTTATTAACATAAAAATTAGTTCTTTTATATGAAAAAATTAAAATTTTCTATACTTTTAACAAAAGTGAATTTGACAGTGTTTTAATTTCATTAACCTTTCATTAACTTAATTCCATTAACCTTTCATTAACTAATCTTAGTTTGTAATAAAATTCTCTTTCGAATTTCATTCTCTAAAGTCAGGGCAGATTATATAAATTATATGGAATTGGATTATAAAATAGATAAAAAGAATTTAATAGGACAATTACTAAATTCTTATTAATAAAAATTTCTCCACAGGAATAATAATGAAACGAGAAAAATTTGTTTAAATAAGATAGAATTTAAAAATTCGGAGAAAATTAACAAATTTGGAAGGTTTAGTTGGATATGGAAGGAAGGAGCATCCCTTTCGATAGAGCAGAAAACAACAGCTGCGCCTGCGCTCTTGTCGATGAATGGTGTATGTATATATGTATGTGTGTGTATATATGTGTGTGTCTGTGTGTGTGTGTGTGTCTGTGTATCTTCTTGATGAACAAAAGCAACCCGGCAAAAATTTCGATTTTAACCATAAATCAATCAATCAATAGATCAATAGCACAGAATTAACAATATCTTCCTTTTTTTGCATATCGGAAAGAAAAAGAGAAGAAATGCCTTTCATAATCTGAAAAGAATGTCCATATAGATCAATCATTTTTCAGAAATAGTCTGTCAATAATTCATTACATTAATTGACTCAACGTTACAAAGACAATTCCTATCATTGTTATTACACAAAAGAAAAAATGAACAAATGTTCTAAACAAAGGATAGGTAAAGTTAACGAAAACAATTAATTCATTTCTCTTAAAAAAAACTTGAAGGCACTTTAAATTTAACTTACTATTGTTGATGTTTATATGAGATAAAGGTTAAAAAAGTGTAAGCATAATTTGTCGCTTTAGATAAAAAGAAATGAAGAAATCTCAAGTGTAACTTCAAAGATAAGCCGCTTGAAGATGCATTGTGCACTGTCGGAAAATCCGTAACAGTTATGAATTACGTGAATCAATAGCATGTATTGTTTCACCTCTCCTGACACCCACCTACCACATCACAAATAATGTTCCTTCCAAAAACAGTACTTAAATGGAAAAGACAAAATTTCTACAAAAAAAATGACAAAAATTTCTCGTTGATCTTATATATTCTCACTTTGAAATAAATGAAATTAATATGATATTTATTAATAGCATATTGCACGCTTCTAATTCCAATCTGTAATCTTTAAATTTTCAAATGGCCAGCTCTCGTGCTAACTTTTCTCTATTTATTGCCTATTCATTACTGTCTTTAACTTTGTTTATCTATTTGATTTATTTTCTATCTCTCTAATAATAATATCATCAGATATGTGATGGTAATACAACTTATCTATTTACTGTACTTTATCAAACAATAATGGAACTTTTACAATTAGGATAATTATGTAGCAAGCTAATAAACTGCAGATAAGTTCACTTCTTATCAGATTACCGATATGTATACAACAATGAAGTGAATGATCAAAGGATCGAAAAATATGATTAAAACATCCAATCATTCTTCTATATGTGTCATTTAAAGATAATAATAAAAGTAAGCAACTGAGAGATGAAATAAACAACAGCAAATCATCCAAACAATATGATTTTGACTTCTTTAAATTTTCACCATCCCATAAAAACTTCATCTAATAAACATCTCTCCCACTATAATTTCAATGTTATTAAGTTCTCTGAGCATCAAAACGAAAAATGAGCGTACGAAAAAATGACGCATAAATTTGACAATGTGAAATATCTTTATGACCTTTTCATAAATTTCATTAACTGGCGTAAAATATTTTGCTTCCTAAAGCAACGAGACCTCTATATTTTTACAATATCATTTGACCTCTCTTTACAATGACCTTTCTTGCATTATAGAATCCAACCAGCAGCATTATATATATTGTACATAAAAATGAATGACCTATCACCTCAATCTATATCATCTATTAATCAATGAGCATTTCATTGTCAATAATAACGATTATGCGGATAAGTTACTTGTTTTAATATAGCTAGCACAGAGAAAAAGAGAGAGAGAGAGAGGGAGAGCACTAAGCTTTGCTGGTTGTAAAGAAATACAACCGAATGTGGATCACTTAGTTGTTTATATGTAAAATCTGACATGCTTACATATTTCGAGAGAGAGAATGAGATATATATATATATAGAGAGAGAGAGAAAGAAATGAAAGAGAAAGAAAATAACAAAAAAATGTGACAAAATCAATGAGTATTATATGACCAATGGTGGATCCACGATGCGGTATGCCCAAAGCATCAGCAAAATGAAATCATTTGGTAAATGTGAAATGGGTCGATGCGGTCGATTGATCGCAATTACCTCACAATTCCCCTCGCGTTCTCTCCTCGCCGTTGCAGGTATTGGTGATAACGCTCGTATCGATGCTTTCATCCTCGTTGGTTGTATCATTTACATGGAAATAATCTTCACCTGAATCGACATTTTAAAGGTTGAACTTATCACAATCAAATTATTTTAAGACACAGTTTGATTGAAAAAAACTTTTTATTCGACATTGAAAGAGGGGAGAGAGAACGAAAAAAGAAGAGGAATCATTTCGATTTGTTGTTTTCCACATTTTCTAGCCAACTTGTTTCAATTTCGATTTTCGGTAGTTAATGGAAGTCAACAATTGTAGGCGACGAGAAATGCAAATGACATCTCAACGATCAATCATCAACTTAAATATATTCAAAATTGACGTTCACGTGAAATTTTAACTGCCATTTCCTCCAAATATTTGGTATTTGAAACAAACAGTTATGACTCATACAATTTGTTTTTTGTGGAATATGAATGAAAGAGAGTGCAAAAAGAATAAATAGTATATGAATTTTTGACAAGTTCCTCATTAGTGTGATGTTTAAAAATTAAGATAATCATTGTGATTGGAAATGACTTGATGATAAGATCAACGTTATGATTACCTGTGTCCAATTTTATCCTTCGCCCTTAGTCAAACACTGCACACATCGTCAAACAGTTGTAAAGAATTGAATGTCTGATGACTATTATTGTTAAAAGATTGCAAATTAAGCAAATGATATGTGACAGTTTAATTTTAAGGTGAATCACTGTGAGAATTGATTATTAGAGATGTGGAAGAAAAAGGAAATTAAGCAGAAAATGATTGTCAGTGTCAAATTGAAAACGATTAATCAATCCATTATAGTCGATCGTATATTATCTCTTGAAAATCCATAAACTAATATTTTTGCTTATACTTAATTTGCATTTCACAGAATTTGTTTACAAGCGAAGATTATATCGGATAATGCTTGCTTGTTTCTAAATTTCATTTCAAAATAACATGCTAACTAACATAGAGTGAGATATGATGAAAGAGGAAACAATAGAATGGAATAAATTTCGTTTTGAACTAAACCGTAGTGATAAGTTAGTTTGCAAATTTGATTCTGAACGAGCTTGTAATGTTTACTATTTCTATTCAATAAGTTAAATTTAAAATAAATTTCGAGAAATTATCGAATTAATGGCAATATTATCGAACAGATCCAATTTGTAAAAGAATAAAAAAGATAGATGAATTAATTGAAATTAATTACAGAGAACATCGTTAGCCATAAGAAAATGATCCGATTCCATTCGATTGATATTTTATCAATTAATAGTTAAGTTATCACTGCGTGATATCACTCACTCACTATCAGACATATTAATATATGGGAAATGCTTCATGTTGCATTTCTCTAAATTACAATTTCGGAAAGTTTTAGTGAGAGAATCGAGCGGTTTACATAATGATTTTTATACGATTTTATTATTGATATAAATTTTGCAAGATGAATTTAATTAAATCATAACTTATCGATTGGTTGCCGTAAAATTGCAAAATATTCCGAATGATTGCATAATGCAACAAAAATATGTTAACATTCATTACAACGATAAATTAGTAAACATAGATTGTTATTGATTATACTATAAAATGCAGTAAAATCACATTGAAGAATGAAACTAGTTTTCAAATGCGCCGGGTAAAGATACTACTGTCTATTTCAATACTATTCTTCTCGAATGAAAATGACATATAAGCCCGATATTAGCATTAAGAGAATAGTTCTGAGTAATATTGATTACCATGCTAATTGTCTCCCAAAAATTTTATAAGCTTTACAAGCAAAACAAAAAGCCTTTTATCATTTTTTAAAATAATTTTACTTTTTTAATATTTTGGTAAGTATCGTAAGAAATGATAGAAAATCTTAAATTAAATTTAATTCAATTAATTTGTTCCTTTTAATTACTTCTCTCACAATAAAAAAAAAGCTATTCCTTTAACATAAATAAATTTTATGAAATTTATATTTCACATATTTTAAATGGTATGAATTGTGAAATCAGCTCATTTGAATATATCAAAATGAATAATCATTTCTTCTTGTCTCGTGTAATTTGCCTCGTGATTTTACTACATCTTTTCTTTTTCTTTACACACCTAACAAATCAACTGATAATTATGCCAGCCTTGTTCTGAACTTTTTAACTAAAAAGTCTTAAATAAATAAATTTTATCTTGAAATCCTTCGAATCGCTCATTTATTGAATTCATCTGTAGGAAAAAAGTGAATAGTATTATCGATGAATCAACTAAGAACAATTATTTAATTATTCAAAATGCGATCAAGATAATTAAGAAAACTTTATATTAAATAACTTAATTATTCTTTGTTGCCTGATAATTTGTAGTGATTGCGAGTATAAAATGATTTATTAGATAAGAATCCTTACAGCTAGCTCTTTATTCTCTTAAACTAATTTTCTAATCTTTTCATTTTCTCAAATCAATCAAAATTTGAAATTCTGCAACTTTTAAATTTACTATTTCATATTATAGCAATAAAATAGTGAAGAGATGAAATAATATCAATTTTTGTCGAAAAATTTATTCCATATTATAATGATTTATGTAATGTGCCAGCCAATTTACTAATTATAACTTTTAAAGGAAGATTTGAAGGCTATTTCCTCTTCTTTAATTTTTGCCCTATTAAATTCATCAAAACTTATACTCAATGATATGCCATTCTTTTTGGTTTCAGCTTTTGTCCTTTTTTACAAGAAATTGTTAAATGATAATGAAATGAATAAAGCGAATAATATTATCACTGATAATACTTTTTTTAATATTTAATGATTATAAAAAGATTAAGAATCGAATTTACTATACGATTCAATAAAAAAATTATTTTAATAGGCAAAGAATAAAGTGGAATGATTATTTTAAATATAAAATGAATTATTTTAAAATTACGCTTATCAAAGAAGGGAAACTTTCATCTTTTCTTCAATTTCTATCTCAAAAGAAAAATTAATTTTTGTTTGAATACTTCGAAATTAATGCTATTAAAATCAGATTGCAGAAAAAGAGCTATTTCTTCTTTCCTATGCGATGAATTTTTAATAGAATAATTCGATAGATAGAATTAGTAATTATATTTTTAAAGGCTATAAATGGGAAGATAAATTTTAGGATTGGAGGATTTGGTATAATTCAATATGCCATATGCTGTTGTTTTATCATAAATGATACTCTAAAGATTTGTAATTTATTGTGAACTTTAATTTTTGCTTTGTTTTATTTTGGGAAAGTTTTGTTATGACGCAATTGAATATTAAATGAAAATTGGAGAGGTTTTCTTCTTAAACGTTATTGAATTATTAGCAATAATTTATCAATAACAAAATCAATCAATGTTTAATTCGAGAAAGTATAGTTCGGAATTGTTTATTGAAGTTGTAGTACTGAAAAGAATCGTTTCAATGTAAATTACAGCACGAAAAAACTTGACGATACTTTTTATAAATGAGTATAATATAGTGAAAAGTAGAAGCCGAAGTTTGGGAATAAGATTCGGATGAGAATGAAATAAGAATAATTAAATAACAAAATGGTAATTAATTTACATAAATTAGAATCTCAAGTAAATAATTAAGATTTTTCATAATTGATAATATATTTTAGATATAATAATTTTTTAAAATATAAATTTTTACAACATACTTTCTTAATATTTTGTATTATAAGATAATTTCGGATTTTTGGCATTTCTAATCGAAGAAATTAGGATCTTCAGAAGGAAGAATTCGAGATTTAGAACGAAAAATAATTTGTTTGATGGAAATTTCTACTTCTTTTTTGTCTATTAAAGGAATTTGTGGAAATTTCTCCTTAATTTGAAGTCTTAGTAAAAAATGGACAAAAAATAGATTGAATTAATTCAAATTTCATTTTGATAGCAATTTAAACAGTTGAAATTATCAAAATCTTATCCACATAGTGATCAGCTTCTAATGCGTAATAAACCCGTAATGATTTATCATCAAATTCATTTTCCAACGATTCTGCCAGTTCTCTTTAGCTGATCTCTTCAAGAAGTTCAGCCGTTCGTTGGTGAGACATCGAATTGTTTCTTCTTTGTGAGTCAGTATTTCCGTTTCTGTATCAATTCCTTCAATTTCAACTTATTATTTCATCTTTGAATTCAACAACTTTTCAATTCTTAGAGCGAGTGTCGATGATAACAGGTTGTTTTGATTTTGGCAACTTCTTTGGTATACTACATCGAGTTGTTGTTTGAATTCTTGTTTTAAGGTATTAAAAACATAATGAAACTTTACATTTTCTGGAATAGATCTTTTCTTCAGATTGATTTCCATCATAATAAATAATTGATTTCTTGGAGCAATATATCTAAAATTCCTCCTCTTTTGATATCGTTGGTTAGATTATCGTCGTTTCCATTCTCCATGTTATCTTACATTGATATGGATAGTAAGTCCACAATTTGTAGTTATAATTATTTCGCTTTCTTTATTAAAAATAAATAAAGTTTATAACTCATTTATATCAAGATAGTTTCCATATCTTTGCATTAAATTTTCTAAAATTTCCCCCTATTAATTACACATTTCTTATTTTGAGGTGTGTTATTAAAGATCATGAACCAACCTTCTTCCACTAAATAAGAACATTCCCCTTTTCATCAACACAAACTTTATTGTTGATTTACATTTGATTCCTTACCATCCATATGAGTATTGCACGTTAATATTTGTTATCCATTTGTTTGGAAAGATTTGACTTAACGCTATTTCGTTTACTTCCTTTTCATTATCGAAAGCTCCAAAGAATTGTAACGATCTTACGGAAGTAATTATTGATTGAACGTAAATAACCTATAACCAATCAATTTGTCAAATGTTATTAATCTTGAAGGGTTTAATATCCCATTCAATGGTTTTTACTCTAATTGATGTCGTGAAGCTAAAAGATGATGTTAGATTTTTAATGCTAAATGGAATTTTAGTATCCAGCTTTCACTAACTTCTAAATTTAATCTATTAGCTAGTTTCTTCGATATAAAGGATAATTCCGAACCACTATCAAATAGTGTTGCTGTTTTTAATTTC